AAGGGAGTAACTTGGCCAATTGTATTATGACTACTTCCGTCTAAAGATGAATTAATGTCATTAACAGTGTAAGCTATTAGAATCAGCAACTAGCTCTCATTAAAAAAGAGACTGTACTTAACAGTGTAAGCTATAATCGTAAGCATTTAGCTCTTACAAAAAGAGACTGTAGTGAACGGTGTAAGCTATATATACAAGGATAGAGCTCTCATTAAATAAGAGACTGTAGTTAACAGTGTAAGTTATAAGCATAAGTAATTAGCGCTTGCTAGAACTAACTGTAGTGAACGGCGTATGCATCAGCTCATAGCGCTTGTAAAAATTGTCTGTAGTCAACAGTGTAAGCTATAAGTGTAAGCACTTAGCACTTGTAAAAATAAAAAGACTGCAGTTAATAGTGTAAGCTATAGTCATAAGCATTCAGCGTTCATAAAAAGAGAGACTGTAGTTAACAGTGCAAGCTATTGAGCATGAGCACTTAGCGCTTACAAAAAACTGACTGTACTTAACAGTGTAAGTTATTAACATGAGCACTTATAAAAACTGTGTACTACAGGTAGCGAGGTCGTTAAATCAAATCAATGGTTAAATAGGCAATCTCTTTACATATCAATTTTAATGTCCCTCCCGCGCTATGTCCTCGCTGACGCTCATTCCATCACGCAATGAAAGTTTCCTTAAAGCTATCAGGGCAAGCAAAATCTTGCCGCCAGCGGGGTTTCAAAAATTAATCAAAACCTCCAGTTCATCGAGAATGACATGAATGTCGTTCTACATTCCACCCTTCCCCAACTCAATTCCGTTCATTTCCACCTTCAGTCTATTTCTACATCATTTTACTTTCTTATTTCATATTCTCCCACTATTTCATAATCGTAATCGCCAGATATAAACTATTTAAACTTGACCATTCCTATGCGGCATTAACTCAACCAATCGATGTGTCCTTCTCAGCGATAGCTCATTTGTACGCCAGTACCAGGTATGTTGACTTTCGGTTATGGATGATGACATCGACTTTAGTGGCGAGCATTAAAGTTCATTTTCTCGGGTGAATGCCTAAGTTATGTAGACTCAAACTCGCCCTGCGACATCTACGCGCTCTCCAGTATACGGCTGTTGCCATGGATAGCCGATTGGAGCATTTGGTGTAAAAGATACAGCAAGATGCACGCCATTCGTTTTTATGACAAAAATACGTTTGTTTCCATAAAAGGTAAATTTACTAGGCAACTAGGCTATAGTGAACTGCTTGATGTCGAAGGCAAAGAGATACTGTACTTTATGCTCGCATTCAACAAATGAATTCTGAGATTTCGGCTAAAGATGCTCTTTTATAATAAAAAAAATGAAAGCTCCCATCCTTAGAACCATATCCGCTATGAAGAGTGTGAACGCCTACCAAATTAGAGAAACATACCTCATAATGTCAATGGTTTCGATGAATTATCGTTTAGAAATACAAATCTACAGACAGTATGAAGCAAACACTTTCAAAGTTGGCTCACTGCGTCCAGAATGCAAAATGTAAACACCAAAACATAAATTTAAAATTCCATCAGTCAGTTGACGTTGGTAAATGAAATATCGTTTTGTACACGGTTTTTTTTTACGCTTACAGCAGATCAACATATATTATAGAAAAAAGGTAAGACTGCGAACAGGTTGCTTTGATTACTGATATTAACCATAAGAACTGCTCAACACTAAAGTATAATTACAACGAAAACCAGCATCTGACCTCTGGCAATCAAAAAGTAATATCCAGAAAATACGGGCAACCTGACAGAAGCTTATCCATAATTTCTGATAAATATATATTGGCATCCATCGTCTGTATTTGCTGACACCAGGCAGAAGCTACAAGAGGCATTCGAAGGATTATCTATATCAGTCTCAGCATTACATAGGCACTTGTCCAGAGGGCAAAGTAAACCTACGTTGAAAAGCTGGAAATATTACCTTTGGCAAGAATTACTGATCGATTTATAAAATTGCGAAAGGAGAGAGTAGAAAAGCGGAAGAGACATCAGACTTGATTTCACTATGAGATGCGTTTTCATTGATGAAGCAGAGACTAATTTGTAATTCAAAGGCACCATGGCCCTTATTTTAGGTAAATTCTCTCCCAAAGGCATACCGCCAAAATGATGGTATTTTCAACATATTGGATTGGGTACCTTACCAGGGGCAAGAGTCATTGTCATTTCATTAGAAAAACTACAGGCTGTCGTAACGTCTAATAATAGGAAAGTGGATGGGAGGTTGGTGTATGATGTTAACGGTAGACTTAGCACGCTAACAGAGCACTTAACCAACACAATGTGCAATGTTATGGGGTGTGTTGCATAAAAACAACACCAACGGCTATTATCTGATAACGGACAATGCCCTATCCATGCTCCAATTGCAGTTCGAGATTTAGTTGAGGCTAGTGGTCATAAATATCTATGCTTAACTATCAATTCAGCGTTCTTGATCCTGTTGAAGAATTTGATCAAAAGCGAGGGCTGATATAATGACAAACATGCTGACTGAGGGAGAACGACTGAGTGGTCATCGACAACTCTGATCCTACAAACAGAATGCAAAAAGATGCAGCGATTAAGGTGGTGGGGACATGTAGAATAACATCAGAGGCCGCAGTAACTTTTCAATATCACGCTGTTATTTAAGTCTACTATATGTAGTCTGCTTGTCTGGGTCGTGAGTTCTCCTCTAAGTTTTAAAGTATACACAAAATTAAGCACCGTGAAGAAATGAACATATGCTCTGCTAATCCATGAGTAGTGTTCCACATCTGTGGAATAGGCTAAAGCCCGAGTTTGAATGCAGCAGTATGATGCTGTTGCTAATGAAAAAGTTACTAGATGCAGAGAACATGTAACAATAAAGGATTGTTTAATCCAATGCACATCGTAGTATAAGCAAACCAAACCAAACCAAACCAACCCAAACGAAATATTATTTCGTTATGGATTTTTGGAACATTAATGTTAACAAACGTGGCCACTTGAAGATCACTGTAAGTTCTTATGCATTGGATCCAAGCCAACGGTACAGATCAAACGTTGTTCTATTGTTGATGCTTCTCTAATTCCTACAGCCTCCTCGCCCTTTTTTTAAGGAGGCTATGCCATGGCTAATTGCGTTCTCCACTTTGGACATTTTGTCACTTGCCATATTGACGTTGAGTTTTAACCCCTTGTTCGTCCCTGAATAACACATTGACATGCTTCCCTTCAGGTTTCTCTTTCCTTCTTCTCTTATGAGCTTTCTCTTCCTTCCATTTCTCTTTCAAGACTTTTCCCTACTTATTTCATTTTTCTTTACCTCTATAATACTCCCATGTCTCATTTGTCACGAGGCTTGATCACTCCGCTCTTTCTTCTTCTTAAAGCAACGTTGCACCCGCTGACGTTCTTTTCAATCTGTACAATAAAAGGGGCTTATTAAGCTAGAAAAATCTAATTCAACTGAAAGTAAATACGTCGTTAAATACGTCGTTTGAACAAAAAAAAGGAATTGCACAAGACTGGACAGATGATGCAATTCCATGATAACCTTTCGAGATATCTAATATTTGCCAAGTACATGAATCCAGATCGTTCGCTGTAAATCTCAAGGAATTGATCGATGTATTCCATTGGTTTGAAAGATCACAACGATTGCCCTCTATATATTCCATAAATAAATTAAATTGGTGTTATAATTCATTATATCTAAGCTTCGATCTAATATATCAAACTTCATATTGAAACATCGCCTTTCTTCTCGCTTTCTCTCAGTTCATAACGAAGCTCATTGGTCAATTGTTCCATCGACTCATATCATTCCGGAGTGGAGAAAGCTTCTTAGTTTTACTCGAACAAATTAAAGCAATTTCTGATCCATTTATTGATAGAACAGTATGTTCGCTGATCTCTTTTGTAATAGCAAAGGAGTATACGCCACGACCAAGAAACCTTTTGCTTCCTTGAAACCTGATTACTTTCGATAGGTATGAGACAGCTGACTCTTCAGTAATTTATCACTGTTTCTAGTACTCGTTAAATGAAACAGGTTATATGCAAATTTCTATCACGCAATAATACCAATCAATAAGTTTGTAGCTATATCATCACTGCAAACTGTCTAACATGTTGCGAATATGCTTGTAGAAGCTATCTAAATATGGCACAATATTATACCATCTAGCTCTGTTTCCCTTAATTGCTTTGATTCCCCTACTCCATCTCATTGGCTTGCTTCATCGACTCTCATTTTTTATGACACGCCATCTTAACACCTTCCTCTGTTGATCAAAGGTCGACTGCCATTTATAGAAATAATTTAATTCTTTCATAAAAAGTTTTATCATATATCTTATCATACCTTTTACACCTGATACCCTTATCGGCCATTAACGCTGATAGATAGATACTGAAGGTCTTGCGGAAGTTGCAGGAGATATTTGAGGATAGGTCACTTAGGCATTCACGGAAGGAAACGAACATTAATGGTGAGCACTAAGCTAAATGTTGTCATTTTTACTTGAAACTCATACTCCCGTAATCGATAGAGGCTCTCTAAGTAGTGTTGATAAGCTTGAAGTTCATTGGTTAAGCATATGCCGCACTGGAATGATCTTGTCGATATCTGGCGATGACTATTATGAAATGGTGAGGAAAAAGTGAAATTATAGAGTCGATTGATGTAGTGATTTGGAAAAATAACAGATGAAAGGAATTGAGATGCGTAAGAGTGAATGGTAAAACGACATTCATGAGGAATGCTGTTATTAGAAAATGGATTCGAAGCAAAAAGGTGGATTTAAAGACCGCGTAGATCAAATGATTTGAAATTGGGTCCCCTTGTCAACTCTAAAGTAGGCTACATCGATGTAGTCCTCGTTTTTTAGCAATTCAATGAAATTGGCATTTAGGACATGGGCTTGGAAATCTACGCAGTGGTAAATGACGGTAAAGTTTGCTGAAAGGGTGGCTGCTGTATGACTTCGTAGACAGCCCTTAAATGTCCAACTCTCTTAGATGTCCACCGCACCATATAAAAGTTGGCTGAAAGCTTCTAATGGCTCACCCACTCTGATGTCTTCATCTAGACTGCAGGCACTATCTAAGGTTTTGAGTTCGATACCAGACATACTGCTTCAGAGAAATTCCGAAGAAAGTCACTAGCTTAGATCACACCTGGCTACGACTTTTTCTGTTAGAGGGATTTATCGTGAACAGTGTTGATCAAATACTATCAAAATAAACAAGATTTAAAGCAACCGATAAAGCTCATACCACACTATCCAAAGTCTAACCTTATGCAAACAAGACCCAATTGTCGATCCAATCGTCTTATTCCACATGAATTTGTCTTTCGTAAGAAGGATTACTGCTCAATGTTTTCACGTCTAAGACGTGAAAAATAATCAAGCGCAAGCTATAACGTCTGCCGTTCTGAATATAGTACAAAAATATATGGCATCGCGTTGAATAAATTTTTTCCTTCAGTCAAGGTTATTATAAGAATTCGTTGGACCTTTCATTGGACCTAATGGATTGAAAAGGTGCACAAAATTAGAGTCTTCTCGCACTCCAATCCTTGTTCTGAGATGTCTGTAGGGAGAAGTTGAAATAAGCTTTGACATGCAAGGGTTGTAAGGACAGTAACAGTTGATGAGTACCGCTTTCGTAGTGTGTAGCCGATAGATTGTGACCTTCTTAAAATTAATAGCTTAGTATGATGCAAAGGATGATTTCCAGGAGTTTTGTTATAGTCTTTCATCCAAAGAGAAAGATCATCCGGGTGCAGGTTTCAAGGATGTAACAGTATAAAAATTTGCGACTTTGCATCGTGTATCTCTCCAATCAATGTCCTGACAAGAGCGGCACTGCTCCTTTGGCGTGATGTAGAACTTGCCCCTTAGAACACCATGCTTTCAAGCGCCACAGTGCTATTGGTGAACATAGTGTTTGAATGATCAGGAAGCTCCATTAAATAATTCTGTTAACGTGAGAAATTTCCTCTCATCACCGTGAACGAAAGCAAGGGAAAACACTACTGAAAAAGCAGGCACGTTCGAAGGCTATAAGCATCTGCTTATGTTGATTATATTCAATGACGTACACAATATAAAAGTATTATCCGTACCTAAGTCTGGTAATGGATACTTAAATTTAATTTTGTTTTGAATGATGACCTACCAGACATATCAATTTCTTGAGGACTTCTATGATAAGCAGCTATCAAAGCATTGCTATTGGATCAAGATAATGGATATGCAGCTGATTTAGTCAATGCGCACATCCTGATGGTAAGAATCACCATCAACGTCAACAAGACCATAGAAAACTACATAGGTCTAGTGAGACAATCTATGTCAATCACCCTCGCACATGCATACCTGTACGGGATGGCATTGTTAATTTTAGTTCAATTTAGGAGCTTGATTGCGGATCCTTGCACAATACCTTGAACAGGTTCAAATGATTGGTCTGCACTGCATATTGAGCACCATAGCAAACGGCCTTTGAAGGTATGAGTGATGTACAGCGGAAATCATAGTGCGATTGGGAGTACAGTACAGGGACAGCCCCTGCCTCGCTGGGGTCTCAATGCTAGCAAAAGTTTACCAGTAAAAAATATGCTACCTGCACGATTGAATTTTACATTGATATCTATTCGAGTACATGCATTATGTGTCGTACAAGGAACTGTGAAATTCAAGGGATATATAGTGCTTTCCATAATCTTATTTCTTTGCATTTGCGAACTACATTACAGCAATAACATGTTTGATTGTTAATTACGTACTGGTGACTTTCCATATGATTGGAACAAAGACTTGCTTCATGGAAATAGGTATTTACATAAATTTTCTGATGGAAGCCCCCTCGCGGCTTTTGGGAATTCTATGGACCCATTCTGTGACCTGATTTTAACAGCCTCAAATGCACACAACCCCCTTCAAATGTTAGCGCCACAACTTTGTCCTCTCACTTGTAACCCTGAATCAAGTAAATGGTCAATTGTAACCCTGAAAAATGAGGTACATCGGGTGTGCACAAGGAAGATAAAAGATGTCCAAAATCGATAGAAATACATCTTCATGGTTCTCTTCCGCAGGGTAGCAATATACAATTACATTGTAGTCTTTGTTACTGTTACAGTAGCATTTACTGTCCGCAGTACTGAAATCCGCGGTGCGAAAGGCAATTCTTTGGGTGCGAAATTATGGTCAAGAGAAAACAAGGGAGATGACAGCGATAGTTATGAAGATTCCAAGCAGTGCACTCTCACACAAGTGATATGTGAATCAACTACAGAAAGTTGCTTCGATGACGTTGCAACATTGTCATACTGCACACAAGTCCAACCCCTGCTATATTCACGGATATCATTGACAGTACTCCCTTTGTGAGAACAGTTACTAATGGTCAAGGCTCAATTTTCAATATTCCCACAAGAGCTCCAGTCTTTCTAGTTATTACGGATATAGTAAACGGCAACTCAATTACCAGAACTGTGACTGAAGGCCAGAAGACGCAATATTCAGTTCAAACTGCTTTAGCAGCACCTGTACCATCGACAACAGTAGCTGGTACCGTAACCATTACTGACGTTATAAATGGAATGACTACCACCAGAACTGTTACAAATGGCGCTGGCATAACTACAAATGGCGTTGTGACTCCTTGTCCTTCAGTTTCTTCTACTCGTGTGGTAATCGTTGACACTATTGCTGGAAGAGTATACACAAGAACAGTTTCAAACGGTGGTGGCACAAGTATAGGTGAAGCCGCATCTTCATGTCCAACGACAGGTTATGGTACTGCAACGATTACCGATACTATTGATGGACAGATAGTTACAAGAACCGTCACCAACGGTGGAGGTACAAGCACAAATGGTCCAGCATCAACATGCCCAACGGCAGGTTATGGTACTGCAACAATTACCGATACTATTGATGGAAAGGCAGTTACAAGAACTGTCACCAATGGTGGAGGTATAAGCACGAATGGTGCTATAACAATTACTGATACTATTGATGGACAGATAGTTACAAGAACCGTCACCAACGGCGGAGGTACAAGCACGAATGGTCCAGAATCAACTTGCCCAACAACAGGTTATGGTACTGCAACAATTACCGATACTATTGATGGACAAACAGTTACAAGAACCGTCACTAATGGTGGAGGTACAAGCACAAATGGCTCAGCATCAACATGCCCAACGATAGGTTCTGGTCCTGTAACAATTACCGATACTATCGATGGAGAGACAGTTACAAGAACCGTCACTAGTGGTGGAGGTCTAAGCACAGATGGGCCAGCATCAATATGCCCAACGATAGGAGGAGTGGAAACCACTGCCTCTTCTACTGCTCCTTCAGAGACATCAGAAGATTCCTCACCTACACCAACCTGTATTCCTTGCAGCTTTACGGGCTTTCAATGCGAAAATGTAGGAAGTACTGCGTGGTTCACCATTTGCCAAGGTGGCTGTACAGTCCGATCAAGATGTGGTGCTGGAAGAGTTTGTGTCCCGAACAAGGATATACTTGGATATTGCCCTTTCAACCCAACTACCTATTGTGATTTTACTGGTCTCAATTGCAACGCCCCTGGTTCACAACCATTTTATGCAACCTGCACCAACAACGTCATTGGATTTGGAAGCTGTGCCAACGATCAAGTTTGTAATCAAGCTGCTCCTGATCCCGTAACTGGACAAGCCATACGATGTTCCAATGCTCCTTCCTGCAGCTTTACTGGGGACAGATGTGATGTTAATCCTCATTCTCCTTGGTGGTACAGATGCGTAAGTGGTAGCATTAGGACAGGTGTTTGCGGAACACTGACTGTTTGCACGCTAAACGCTGCAAACCAGCATGTATGCAGAGCAGGGACTTGATTGATATAAAGTCAAATGTTTTGTCATTCTAAATTGTCTTCAGATTAACATTTCAAAAATTCGATGTAATGATTTATTGCTCTTGAATTCTGTTACCCAAAAATGAAATACTTTCAAAGTGAAGATGTAGGAGTGTAAAGTGCGAATATGACCTATGCATGATTATGTGTTAAGTAATTGTTGAAATACATGCTGCTTTTGGGTCTTTTGGTGGGTCTAAGATTTCCCAAAGGTATAAAACTAGTGCCTTTTTGTGGTTGGATGTGCGCGAAGTTGTACCACTTTAGCCGCCATAGATGAAAACGAACAATGGCTGTGATGATTACATTAAAAATTACTTGACTTCGTTATTTTATAGCTGACTACCCAAATGGACCATTTTGAGGATTTGGTGTGCAATTTATCAAGCTCGGTATCGATGCTTCGAGGGCAATATTGTAGTTGGCGTAAACCATCAGCTTTATAATCCATAACAACCATCTGTAGCAACTTCTCTTTCCATAGAGCAAATGGAGAGGAAGTAAGCAACCTTTATCTTTCTCATAGATTGATGGCGAATACCTCGTCAATAGGTATTAGTGGCAGACCTGTGGATGATCTACCTCCAAAGGAATAGCACATCCTTCAGTTGCAAAACTATGTTCCTCTGCTTGAATGAGAAAATAGGAAACTGAAAGAACTGAACAACGCACACTGGCTTTCACTTGATAGCTTCAACCTTACCAACTTTATTTTGGAAGGTCAATGTAAGTATTGTATCTGTCGATGGATAACCTCGCTAATTTATTGCTTTACAGTTTCGTGACGAAACAAACAAACCCGAAAAAATCTGGAAAAGTTGCCACACTTGTCAAAAACTAGGTTCTTTGACGGTCGAAGACTGGGAATTGGGGAATATTTCATTTACTATATGTAAGCTATGTTATGCGACCCCTATGAAATTTTCGAAGCACAGTATGGTCATCAAAGTTATCTTAGCACATCACATGCTTTGAGCCCAAGTCGATATGGGCTATTTACAGCCAGGTTGTTCTGAGATGGTTTGATTTTAAGCTCTAAAGTAACAACTGCTAAAATGCTTCAAGTTCGCTCAGCGCATAACGAACGTGTTGCTTCAAATTGTCGCTGCGGACGAACCTATGTAGTGAGCCTTTAATATAAAACACTTGTTGTATGGTGACTTCCAGCATATGAACAAGTTTACATTCAGACCACGGCAATCTTCCAATATGTTTGCGAGCAAAAATAAACCCGTCCGTAAAGTAGAATTTTAATAATACGTGAGGCAAAGAAAACGAGCACAAAAAACTGAAGAGACAGTTTAGGGACTCAATGTTGGATATACAACTATGTAGAAATCTGAGAGTGTAGAAAGGCAAAAGAGAAGACCAGCAATTCGGGGAAGATAAAAGCCGTAACAAAAATAACATGGGGATAGGTAGCTTCTGATCACAATCCGTCAACACTGCATACAGTGATTACCGAATCATATATATTCAATTCACTTCATACATTAGTCGCGATGGCGAGGATATTCCTCAATAGGGGTTTCTGGATCAGCAAATGGATCTGCGAATGGATCTGCAGGATCAGGTCTAGCTGGCATGGACGGCGGTGGAGGAATAGATATATGCATTCCAGAGATGTCAACAGGTGCATCATTAGGTGGGGGTGTAGACGAAGATGTTTGATAAGGGCCGGGACGTGGTGGTTGTGGAGGAGGAGCTGATTGCATGGCAGTAGGAGATGGCATTTGCGCCGGAGCTTCACCAATACTCATCATTTCGTACGCTTGAAGAGCTTTAAGTAGGTCTTCGTTTGTAGCTAGAAGCGTACCTATCCAGTCCTCATCCTCAACCAATCTAGTATATCGGACGATCTTCTTTTTGCTCTCTTCACACTTTTCAACATATTCTTGAATGCGAGCATCATGCTGGAGCTCCACTTCCCATCGGTCCTCTTCGGTGTTGATTAACTTGAGCGCATTCATCAAATTATTGCAGTTCTGATTAGCAAGAGCAATCTGCTCGATGATTTTCGGTTTTGCAGTTTGGAAATTGAAGCGACTACCAGATTGTTGTGGTGAGTTGACGGTGTTGCTTCTTGGCTTTGTTTTTGCTGCAGCAGGTTTTGAAGGAGGGAGCGAGCGCCGTTTCTGTTCCTTAGTCGGAGGAGGTTGCTGAGGAGCACGAACGGGTTGTGGTGGTGGTATATCGTCTGCAACATCAATAATATTGGATGTGGTTGGGGCAGATGGAGATACTTGAACAGGCGATTGCGGTGGTCTAGAAGACACACTGCGGGACTTTGGCCGTCGTGACTAGTTCAATAGGTCCAAGTCATGAGTAACAGTCTCTCATTCATCACGATGCGCTTAATCAATCGCTTACCGATCCAAGACCCAGTTTGGACCTTCCAAGTTCGTATAAGTCTGCGATAGCGCGCATACCTGGCTCATCCTTATATTTAGCAGACCAAGTTCCGAGTAACGACACCAATTCCTTTCGAAGCTCCATGTCTTCCGTCTATTGTAATCGTGTGTTATGACGCTGTATAGCGAAGAGCCAGAACAAATGCGTTATTCTTACCGGACTGGTAATTATGATCTCGATACGTTCGCGCATCTTTTCGTTGGATGTCAGCTGACCTATGAAAGCAGGGGCATCACGATGAGTCTGAGGCTGACCAAAATAATCAAATAAAAACGCTTCACCTACGATGGAACCGCTGGTTACTGTTCTCCATGAGCAATTTAAGAACCTACGCGAGTAGCAGAGTGTTAGGATGCCAATAGCTTTGATTTTCGAAGCCTAAACACTTACTTCAAGAACCCGGATCTTTTGCTGAGAAGTACCGTGCTTCAGACGCTTCCTAACGGCCTCCACTGCTTCCCGTGGCCCATTTTCTTGTATGAGAATAACTTCTGAGAGCTGTTGAAACTGATACCACTCTATTTCGTCATAGTTGGAAAGCCGGTCTTGATAACGAGTCGCTTCAGTGACAAGGCAAAAGGCATTCCTTTGCGTCCATATCTAGAAGAGTTATCACTTACCGACATAGTGAGTGACCGATGTCTTCTGCGTTTCTTCCGAGAAAATGCCCATTGTCGAGGAAAGGGAGAATCAAGCAAGGGTTTGAGCTTATTGCAACTGAACTCAACCTAATGAATGTGGTGGAGCGGCGCACGAAATTCATGACGTCAATGGAACACCAACTGCCAATAAAGTAACGTGAAGGTCCGGGCAAAGCTGCTTTGGTCCGGCGTCCCGTATCGTGGCTGTTTGAAGTCAAAATCACCGAACAGGTCCGGACCGGACCAAAGATGAGAATGCGGCCGAATGAACGGATGCAGAGCAAGAAAGAGTTGAAAGTCAGACAGTCAAAAAAAGGCAGCAAATTCCCAAAATGATAACCGACTCTAGATTCCGCTTTTGCTTGTTCTTTACTTCTGCAGAACAGTGCAATGAAGAAGACGCTGAAATCTTTTTGTTTCGCGGGGATTTGTGCTTTGATGGCCATTACAGGAGAAGCTAGAATTCTATCTCCTCATGAGTTGGTGACCTTACCACGACCAGGCGGTGTAGCAACAGCACCGTCTGGCAAACGCGCTGTATTTGCTCAGTCACAGTACAATACCACTGCTGACAAAGTAAGTTTAAAAATGCCTTTTCATAACCTCTTAGCGCATCTATTTGAACTAATCTTTAATTACCATAAGAGCACCAAGAACCTACACGTAGTAGATTTGGAAAATTCCAAGATAGGTACCGTCACGGCTGCAAGCTTAGACTATCAGCAGGATGACGCCTTTTTCTTGGATGATGATCATATTGCATTCTACCAAACTGGCATAGACCTTGATGTCGGTCAAGTGTATGTGTTAAATATCCGTGAATCGGATGCCAAGCCCTATCAATTGACGAAATTCCCCGTCGATGTCTCCAACTTCAAGTTCTACGCTGAGTCCAAGTTGCTTGCCTTCTCTGCTGCAGTTTATCAAGACGGAACTTTGGAAGGTGCTCGCGCCGAAGATGAAAAGATACAGAAAGAGAAAAAGGATAGTGCTCTCGTCTACGACTCTCTCATGGTTCGTCATTGGGACCATTTCACCTCAGCAAAGAAGAACAATATCTTCATTGTCAAACTCGAACTTCAGGATGGAAAATATCAAGTGAATGGGTCTCCCAAAAATTTGATGAAAGGAGGCAACTTGGTAAGACGATCGCTGAAACAGAGAAATATGTTAAAAATCGCGTATACTTATAAATATGAGCGTAATTATTATTTAGGAGTCTCCAGTTTTGCCTTTTGGAGATGCCGCCAACTTTGACTTATCTCCCAATGGTGAGCATTTTCTCTTCTAGAGGTTCAATCTTGTATAATTGCCGGGCTGACCATGGTATTCACGCAGGCAAACAGCTGGCATTTGTGTCCAAAATCTCTGGTCCTGAAGGAGCCTGGGAAACATCTCAACACGTTTACCTTGTTTCAACTGATGGCAACAGTGAACCTGTCGCTATTAACCACGATATTCCAGCCGCTGCCAATAACCCTGTTTTTGCACCTGATGGTACCTTGGCCTACTTGCAAATGCTCGAACCGAAATACGAAGCCGACCGCAACCGCATCGTCCTTTACGATGGTAAAACTCGTACTTATGTTGCTGAAAATTGGGATCGCAGTCCTTCCTCGCTTGTGTTCTCCAAGGACAGCAAAACTATCTTTGTAACTGCAGAGGAGCACGGTCATACCAAAATCTTCGCCATCGAAAGAGAAACAGGCAATGTTAAGACTTTGACCGAAAAGCACACGGCTTCGTCCTTGTCAGTTTTGAATGGAAAGCTAGTTTTCAGTCTTGCATCTATGAACCATCCCAACATTGTGTCTAGCGTGGACTTGGAAAGTGGGGAACTCAAGACCTACGGCGTCACGAATGAACTCGCAGTTCTCATGAAAGGATTGGATATGCCTACTCCTGAGGAATTTTGGTTTAACGGCTCACTCAACGCCAAGGTTCATGGCTGGATTATAAAACCTACTGATTTTGATTCTTCCAAAAAGTATCCTGTCGCGTTCTTGATTCACGGAGGCCCTCAAGGTAGCTGGGGCTCATCTTGGTAAGTGGAAGTTTACCTTCAGATCAATTAAAGATTCAAAATATGAACATAGTCTGTTTTTTAGGTCTACTCGTTGGAACCCCCAAATATATGCCGCTGCTGGATACGTTACTGTAGCCATCAATCCTCATGGCTCTACCGGATATGGTCAAGAGTTCTGTGATGCTATTCGCAACAACTGGGGATCTTATCCCTACTATGATTTGGATAAAGGTCTCACTTACGTTATTGAGAACTTTGACTTCGTGGATGCCGACAATGTGTTTGGTCTTGGAGCTTCCTATGGTGGATATATGATTAACTGGATCAACGGTCACAGCAAACGATTCAAAGCCCTCGTTAACCACGATGGAATGTTTTCTACGATCAACTCATTCTACACAACCGATGAATTGTACTTCCCTGAACGCGAGGTAAGCCCACATATTTATTTTTTGAGTTTGCTCATATTCACTGTTGACATACATCTATTTCCATCGCAGTTTGGAGGTGTTCCTTTCAATCCTTTCCACCGCTTATCATATGAACGATGGTCTCCATCCAATTATGTTGCTAACTGGAAAACACCTACCCTTGTCATCCATGGCGCTCGTGATTATCGTTTAGTAGATGGTGAAGGCTTGGCTACATTCACTGCTTTGCAACGCCAAGGTGTTCCATCGAAACTAGTGTATTTCCCCGACGAGAACCATTGGTAAGTCAATGGTGACCATTGTGTTTTTGTGGGCTCTGTTTCTGACATTTCATCCTCAGGGTCTTGAAGCCTGCCAATTCTTTGAAATGGCACAAGGAGGTGCTTGACTGGCTAGCGAGATGGAAAAACTCACCTTCTCCTATTGCAGAAGATGATAACCTCAACGTAAAAGATTCAGCAGGTGTACATATTGACATTGAACAACTAGTCCATGGAATCCGCTCTAACCTGACTGGACCAAGACTAGAACTGCAAAAATAACTTGACCTCTCAATCTGGTTTGACTATATGGTTGTTTTTTTCAACTTTTTGATAAAAGAGACATTCTTATTTCCATAACGATAATGACAAATCGTTTATATTTGCTACAATAAAGCACTTATTGGGATCACATTATCTACCAACTAATAGTGGAAAAGTTTCGCTGTCAAAAAGTTGAATGATTTCAATAAAGAGTTGAGGATATACCATTGGATTTTATTACAGTTAGTTAAGATATACAATTGGAGAGTTTAAAAATCTTTGGCATCTTCGAGATGTTGAATTTTTTTGGTATCATCCCCGTCAAGCTGATCGAGCTCTTTTCCAGTAGTCTCTTCAAAGCAAAGCCAGGAGTACAGGAATCCCACAAAGTTGATGACAATGAAAAGGATGAAAGAGTAGTTTTGAAGACGATTATAGATCAAGGGCCAGAGGGTATTTTCTACAAAGTTCACAAGCCAGTTTGTTCCGTTGCCAAGCGCAGAACCGGCGGCCAATCCGCGAAGAGGGAGTAGCTCTGGAGCAATCATCCATGGAACAACACCACATCCACAAGAATAGGTGAAAAGATAGAGAATAGCTACAAACATAAACGAATTAGACATAGGTATTTTTTTTGAACATGGTGAGATAAATGCATATATCAACATACCAGAAAAGATGATGAGAGGTCCCGTTTTATCGGTGGCGACACTGGAACCAATAACGATACCAATACATGCGATGGTCATACCAGCGGTAGAAATCATCATGAAGCCCTTGCGTCCGACCTTGTTCATAAGCACAACGGCAATAGCAGTAGCAACGATGTTGGCAGCTGAACAGACCAAACTGAGAGTGGTAGCCATGTGGGTATCACCTTTGAAGATGCTGGTAAAGAAACTGACAGAATAGACACTCATAGGTCCAATACCACCGATTTGGTTATAGGCAAGGAGGATACAGACATGAACAGTAGCAATGAGGACCTTGCGATCCTTGCCACGAAGGACAGACCAAATAGAAAGTTGAGGTCTTTGTTCATCTTGTTTGCGAGCTTCCATGAGAAGGTTGAGTTCTTCTTCAATATCACAATCTGGTCCACGTAGTTTTTGAAGACTGGCACGAGCACCATCGTAGTTTTTGTTGGCACAAAGTCTTCTGGGGCATTCAACGGTGAAGAACCACAAGAGAGCAAACTGGATAATGGATATAATGGCAGAGATGACCCAAAGGTATCTCCAAGTAGGAACGGTGCTCATGTATAGACCGCAGACTTGAGTGACGAGAATACCGAGGTTAAGGAAGAATTCGAAGAAACTTCCGTGAGCTCCTCTTGTCTTTTTGGTGGAAATTTCACTAACATAGATGGCACAGCTGATGAATGAATTGGCGAGTAAGAAAAAAAAAATTGGGAAATAGCAAGAAATTGATAAATTAGTAAAGACGATATAACGATGATTGATGTAGTGTGATAATTACCTGGCACCAGCGAGACCTGCTCCGATACCAACAATGACTCTTCCAACAGAATACTAGAAAATTTAAAGCTTAAAATTTTGTATCATTGAATTATAGTACATTATGAAGCACTCACCATAGCAACATTAACGGCAAGAGCTGTCAAAATGCTTCCGGCAGCAAAGAAGGCAGCACAGATAAGGAGATTGGCACGACGTCCAAACCAGACGTTGGTGTACATGGTGCCCATTCCACCAACAATACCACCAAGGGCGTAAAATCCAACTGTCAAGCCCCACATATAATCGGCCATTGGCAAACAATCAGGAATAGCGGAGGAGGATGTGGTAGTGCACGATGTGATGATGGCCATTGGCATATTGACAACACCTATTGATGGTTGATGAATTATATGTTGTCTTTGGTGGTCATCATAAAAAAATTTTACAGCTCATACCTATGTGCCAGCCCACATTGAAGCCTGATATCGCTGCTATAAAGGCGCAGAGGGTGGAATATACGGTGAACCCTGTAGAGAATGCGGTATATTAGCATATACGTTGGCTATGATGGTTGTATCTGTCTATAACCAACAACTTGTGTACCTTGTTCGTGTGAAGGCTTGGTCATACTGCTATAAATGAAGGGTATAAACGGTAGATATCGAAACCCTGTGTACTTTATATTCGAGACTTCATGTCCGCATTGGCTGTGATTGGGTAGATGGTTTCCGAGAGGCGTAAAGTCCGATGATAACGCTGCCAAATTTGGTAGGCATATCATGGATTTTACTCACGCCGCTCCTGATAAGAACCTCATGGCCCCGGTCATTGAAAGAGTTTTCATTTCTAAGAGTCAAAGAACACTCAGTGCCAAAATAAAGTTGAATATGGACCACAGAGTGATCGGAATACCATTTCTAATTTGTAAGGGCTATAAAGCACTTCTATTTCCTTGTACATGAGGTATAAACAGCCGGTCCCTATTTGGTATGAAACTCTTGTGATCCACAACCCATAGCCTTCCCAAATGTGTTCACCTTGCGTGTGTGTGGGGAAATTGACAAGCAATGTTTTTCTCACTGGTTTTGTGTGAATCCGTTCCTCCCGTATCTCATTTTGGCTCACGCGCGGCATAATGCATGACTTGCGTACGCTTTGCTTTAGTAAAGAGCTAAAGCGAGTCATGGTAAACTGACCCATCATCATCCGAAAGAGATGACTTAAGCATTTTTGCACTTAGAATTTGTAATTCAGCCGCGACACGGGACTCCACACGTAATTTTGTGCTCTCCCAATTATTTGTCGGTTGCACGACGAGTACATGACAATTTCTGGGGTAACTGAACTTTGGATGAAATAAGCTGCAGCTGCATATTTGCACCGCAAAAAGAGTGTTGACATATGCAGGCAATCTAAAAAAAAATTTACATCTCGTTAGTCGCACGAAAGTTTTTCTTGTGCCGAGGAGTTTTACAAATAAACGGTGTTCGATTGGTTATTCCCAAGTTTCTGTTGAGCGTCTGGAGTTCTGCCTGAAACTAAATTGTAAACAAATTTATGTTTTGAGTCTATCTCTCACACTGCAAGTGGAGAAGGCTGTAAAATAAGAGCTGTGCATTGTGATTCCAGATCCTAGCTTCTATAGATTTCAAGAAATGCTGTTGAAAACTAAAAAACAAAAAATACAGCCCGACGTGGGGGTCGAACCCACAACCTTGAGATTAAGAGTCTCACGCTCTACCGATTGAGCTAGCCGGGCCTTCGTTGCAGGTGGGACCACTAAATTACAATTGTTCTGTTAATTATAACATTAACAATTTTATAACGGTAGTCATCTCCATTATGATACGTAAGCAACATCTATAGAAAAATCGTTAATACTAAAATAATATTGCTATATTCTAGTTTTTTTTAATACGCTTATTTTAATTTTTTTGATAATTGGATAAGCACATACAACTTTTTAAACACATACTAGACCACATTTCGAACAAAATTCAATTTCTGTTTGGCTATATCGAGGCTATATGTTCCTTGTTTTGCTCACTTCCAGAAGGAAATATGTTACAAAGTCCAGATTTATGCTGCTAATAACTTTCTATGTAATTTATCATTGCAAGAAATGATTCAGTTATAACTGGCCATTTACAATGGCATAATGTTTGTTCATTATCTTCAAAATATTCATTTATCATATTTGAGCATTTTCACTGAAAACCCCAGCATACATTCAAATTTCTTGCCTTCATTTTTTACTTTAATGATGAAGCTATATAAGATCAGACTACGTTGTTTCAAAACTATTGGAGAATGGCTATGTATTGTCATTTAAAGACACTGGAATATATATTATATTAAAAGTCTTTTTTAAATTTTGAAATCGGTTTATTGAATGACAATATTAGCAAGAAAACTCTCCAGCTATTTGCAGCTTCAAATTCCAATGCCAATTTGGACAGTTATCAACATAGTCTGTGATGATGAACAAAGGTATCCATCATACATCTGTCTGGGCGTCGATATAACACGTTCGAAAATTATGGGGCAGGTTTTTCTCACTCTTGTTTCGTCCTGGCGTTGCCAGACAGCCACTTACAAGTAATCTCCTAAATTGGGACTTTAGGTGTCTTGAAACGACGTGTGAGCAATTTTATTCATTTTCGACTTGCATGCATTTAAAGTTCACACGTAAAGATAATGTAGATATTCTCCATTATCAGATAAGAAATTCATGCAAACAGACTACCAGCTCTTCCTTGTGTGTGGGGAAGTTCATAACTTTATTTGTTACACCTACAAAGGATTTGTTGCCTCTAATCTTGGCATTCGATATTGGAAATCACCAAAGTAACGATCGAAAATTTTCCCATAACCCCAACAAGAAGTAACCACTAAAGCCTATGCTAAAATAAAAAATAAAAACTGGCAGGAAGAAGCATTCTGAACGTTAACTTTTGAAACAAGACGAACAATAAATTAATTCATGTCTGTCAAAAATCGTTTAACAAAACAATATTTTCACGGTGTTCAGATCATAAAAATATATACACCGCCTATCAAAGGCATATGTACCTCATAGAACAGCTTCATGTAGCCGATATGCGATACGCAAAATCGCATGTTCAAGGTAATAGATAATAGATTTGAAAAGACTTGTGTGAGCTTGTCATCTCAAAAGTTGTATTACCTTCAAAGTAAACAACAGAGAAATAAATATCAAAGATATCGCTTTCGCCCTTCATCTCATCACTGTCCGGTGAACTCTATGCTCGTTGAAGTAAAAGAGGCTAGATAGGTACAGATGTTAAAACATAATGGCTCTCATCAAAGCTAGCGATGAGAGTTACTTGCTTGACAATGGAAGGTACGCCTCTGGCCGACTGACCATGGGCAACAGCAATAGTAGGGAGTTGCAGCGATCAGAATTCAATGCTACAAGTGATGCTGTTGCGTCGAATTTGGCTCGGCCCCTTGTGCGCTAATACTACCAAAGAACTTCAGATAATGTCCAACGCGGCCAGCAATGCCCACTCACATAGCATAGCATCATTCACCAACCTACTTCAAGCCATAGAGGATGAACGCTGTGAGGAAACTGTGCTGAAGGGATATTTTCTTTATTTTTCTTTTGTTATTTGGAAAAAACAGCAGTAAAACCGTAATGTAGCTAATCGTAATGATGATCCGGTTGTATTATTTTCTAGAAGGAGGTAATCTGCCATTGCGTGAGGAATCATTAGACGGACATTATCAGTACGTTTTTAGTTGAAATGCCCGTGCTCAGTACAGCAATGTCGAAGATTGCTTCTGCAGTGTACGTCAATTGTGTATATATACCGCCGGAGCCAAAGTCTAGAAACGTTTGAAAGTTAAATAGAACAAAAAATCAAAAACCGGTGAGCGGCCCTTTTGGGTTTTTTTTTGGTGTCTCAGTTATGCCATAAATTTTCATTTTGACATTCTCTCCCATGTGGCACGATAAGCTCTGGTGAATGCGAGATACGATCGGCAACAGGAAGGACAATCAATGGTGAAGGCTATATGCTGAGTCTAGCAGAACTGTAATATTATATGCACCGGGTGTGTTCAGCAGCAATGGCACAAGGCTCATCGATCAGGCAACTCTAGTGCGCGTAGTGTTCATGGCAAGTAGTGGGCACTGTATCTATGATTAAGAGGATGAGATTTGACTTTGGCTATTCTCCAAAAATTACAGTTTGACGCTGGAGAACGATAGGCAGTACCAATCGGCTATGTTTGTCAGCGGAACAGCATCGAACTTCCACTGCCTAGGGTTGCGACCTTCAAGTTGTGCTAGAATATTGGCTGTTTATTCGTTCTGCAGTCATAGATATGCTTGATCGGTAACCGACTATTGACTGGCGGCATTTGGATTGAAGTCGCTGTCGTTTATTCAACGTACATATTCAGCTCAAGAACGAGAACGGAGGGCTATCTGCAGGTCACTGCGAACTTGGCGATAATTCGTTAAAGCATTGAAGGAATATTAAAGCTATCCCACAGTCTACTTTAAAAAGGACAGACCGGCCACTCCACCAAGTACGTACAATGGTGGACTAACAAGACAAGCTCAAGAATATAGCGTTGAAGTTACCAAAGTTAACTCCGAACAAGGTACAAGAAACATTCTAGCGTGGCATACAGTCTGACATTCGAGCTAATGCAAACCATGGCGCCGGAATTTCTGGAGCAGGCTACTAAAGTAGTATTATGGCATGAAAGAAGACCTGAACGTAGCAAGTTCCATGCCGAGGATACCGCTAGGACCATTCAAGGAAGTCAATCGCACTTCCCCTATGGATTTGGATATCATAGTAGGAAGACAACGCTTGGACAGAGGCAATACGAGAAACTTTACTTCAATCTGATCTACTACAACTTTGAAGGCCGTAGCATGTTTAACGCGACTGTCCTTTGCTCAGACGGCCATTGGATAACTGGTCAACCCCCGTTTTCAGCACTCACAAATGAACGCAGAGTTTTACTCTGATGATCGCTTTAAACCTCAGTTGATGCGGTGTCGATCATGCGGAACCATCGGTCAAGAGATGACTTCCGGTCATGGCCTGGGTCTGCTGGCTACTACCGACGCTTCACACCAGGTATGGTTGGTGTCTGCAAGCCTCAGACAAATCTACCGAAGAGGGGAGTGGGATCTCAGTGGGGTGCGGAACAAGAAGTTGCCTTTTACTGCGATCAAGCAGCGGCTCAATTTTCCACCGTTATTGGCATACCCGGACGAGAACCAAGTACAGATTTTGTCGACGGACGCTTCATGCCAAGTACTAGGTGCAATTTTCTCACAGTCCTCCGACGGCTCCAACCAGGAGAGGCGAGACTGTGAATGCGTATGCTTCCATACCTGAAGTCTACCGAAGATGCCATGTTAGTTGGTATTAGAAGCTCGAAATCGTCTACTACAAATTAAATGAGATACTTTGATGAGGAATAAGTACTATAAACTCTTAAATACCATATCCGTCACCTTAAAATGTGTTGTTCTTATTTCTCATCTCTTATGTGCCGTCCGAATAAACTGTCCTGAATGGAAAGTCTAGTAAAAATTTGGTATCTCGTTAGATTTATTATTTGTTGGGCAATCTTTTGGACGATTTTTATTCCATATGTTTGTTACATCTATTTAATAGTTCGGTCTCTTAAATGTGAAGATTTGTCGATAGTGTTGTCACGGGAAGTTCCGGCCGATTCACAGTCCGAAGTCATTTTCTGTAACGGTCTTTAGAATGAATGGCCGGAACATGCGCCTTGGCATTGTATTCAACGCAGTGGATCTCACCACTGGAGGTGAGAAGTCTCTATCATCGATTATAGCACTAAATTGCCAACTTGATTATCTTTGAGGACCCTTAGCACCAGCTTTTATTATATAATTTTGGAATCGAAAAAATATCAAATGCCTTCTTGGCTCAGTTGGCAGAGCGTCTGCCTAGTAAGCAGAAGGTCACTAGTTCGATTCTGGTAGAAGGCACTTCTTTTTTTCCCTCATGGCTTATTTTTTTTGGACATTTGGATTTTGACCACGGGTCGGCATATTTCGTTGGAACAGACCCTAATTTACAGAGTGAACGTCTCTAAAATAAAAGGTGTGTCATTATTTTATTGTAATTACTTCTATTATATTGTTTGCTAATTCATTGATCGCTGACAATTCCAAGTACAATTGCTTCGAACGGGTTTACTAAATTCAAGGGGGAATATACACGCTTGTCTCTATACTCTTTTTATCAGTGGTGGAGTGTTCACCATGTTGGCGGTTAAAAACATTTTTCTGTTTCAGGTGAGAAGTTGAGATTGACGCACTTGTTCATATCGTGGAACACCTTCTTCCATATCAAGCTCTCGTTACGATACTTGTACTCGATATCCAAATGCTTACAATGCTGATAAACAGTGTCGCCGAAAAAGGTGCTTTGGTTTACGCTGTCGGTTGCATTATGGGATGCAGCTTGCACAAAGCAACTGGCCATAGGCCTAGACAAGCCGTAAAAATCTTCCTGCATGCATACTGGGGCTTTGGAGCCATCTTGCGGCATAGAGCAATTTGTAGCAGCTCCCCAGTACATTTTTCCACTGGTTTGGATTGCTTCGGCAACATCCGCGATGTAATCGATGTCCGGGAGAATGCCATCCTCCGCTATAAAAAACACCTCTTCATGCGGGAGGGCTTGTAGAGCAGCCTTGAGTATATCTACAGTCCTCACATGCCGGCTCTTAGAATTGTACCGTTGTTTGAGGTCAATATCGCACCATGGATAAATCATATCTTCAGCGCAAACAGTCTTTGTAAAGTCATGGATTCGCAGTTGCTGAAGAAACGCATAGCTGGAGTTATGTGGTGATGAATAAAGCAAAGTATATGCTAGGCACTGGTGTGCAGCACTTAGGAGTAAAAAGCTGTATAGAAGACCAAGCATGGATGCGGATGGTCCAAAATGCAGCGAGAAAGTCAAGGAAGTCGTTGGTAGTCAATATTAATATTCATAGACATTTTTATGGTAGTCAAGACGAAGAGAATGTGTCTTAAAATTTTTGGTTTAAGTGCGTATAACTCGAACGCCATTATGGCTATTACAGAGACACAGCTGCTAACTTCCACAAAACCTGATATATTGCTGGTATAATGCTAGAGGGTATTAGTTGGAAAGGTATTGACTACGAACAGAGTCATTGTCCTACAAAATTTTTTTCCGCTTGTTTGAGGTATTTTTGCTTTGCTGTGCCAAGCTTTCTCGTAACGCAGTTCGCTTTTCTCTTTGTTTCTCTTTGTTTGTCTTTGGCGACTAAAAATAGGGAGATATTTTAATTTCTTTTTCATATTAGATAGGCGTGCCTTTTTTTTTTTTAAAGAAAACGTTACCAGTAAATCTTCTTCCGCGGAGGAAGGTAGTCCATGCCGTCGTAGATTATTGCTTAATCCAGCTGCTATTATCAGATCTTCCTCCAAAGGAAGTCCAGAGGGGACGGCATCTTTGTATGCCGGTGCTGCGCATCCTGACACTTGGATTAATAAACCACTCTGGCTGACGATACTTGTACTACACAAGAGTCTTACCCCCTAAGTCATACTGTGTCTTGATGGATTGAGTAGCATGAATCATAAGGTCGGCTACAGGCGTGGTTAACAGTTGGGGTGTGTTATTTGCTTTGGCAGCTTCATCCTGGATAGTCTTCAAGGCAATGGGTTTGGTTATTACCGAGAAACCAAGCGAGTGATGAATGTGGCAGAGTCATGGGCAAAACTTTTACCTCCTTCAGCTGCACCAGTTCCTGCGCATCACTCAGTATTTGGCCGATCTTGCTGTCTTATGGACCAACATCATTAGCTAACATGATTAAAATAGATATCAGCAGCATTTCAACCAGCTTACTTGAGGAGCCTAGACCAGCCTTCATCATATTTTCGTGCAGATGGCTTAATTCTTGACTCATTGTCATCAACTTTTGACGTTGTTGGGTATACCGCAGGTGATAGGAGGCGCCAAGAACCAAACTGGGACCGGTTACGTGTTTGTATAACGTATCGGGACCGTCCAGCAACGATGCTGTGGAGCCGCCTGAGGCCATTTGTTGGCACTGAAATGACCATGGAACGTTAGCGAACCCCACTTTTCTTGAACAAACGATTTCCAGCTATCGGGGAGGCGAGGCCAAAGTCAGCCATTGCAGTTACAGGGTGTGCGAACCTGGGGGTGGATACTTACCTTATCAGAAGACTCGGTTATCTCCTGAACATGATCGAGGAACGTGGCTAATATTTTAATTAGGGCAGGCGAGCTTTCAGCGTCAGGTTTGACAATGGCAATTTCACTCTGCAGAGCGCGCTCGTAAATGTCAGTAGATTTAGCATGCTCTAGCCATACATTTCGTAAATCAGTGACGAGCACTAGGTAATAGTCTTGTCCAAAAAGCTTTTTAATTTGAAATTTCTGAGCAGATGGTGCCGTAAGTGGTGACCATGGCAATGCTGCCAACAAGTCACTTTTCTCCGTTTCAAGTCGCATAGTTGGAAAAAGTAAAAACTAGTGGCAAGCCGAGGAAAATAGTTTGCATGGTTTTATAAAATTTTTTATTGATGCGTAAGGAGATATGGATTTGATCAAGAGAAAGACGTATAGGGGAAGAGGTATTATGTACATTAAATTGCGAGACCAATGGGTTGAAGTACGGTGTAAAGAGTGTAAAGGCATGTAGAAATTTCAAAGGAAAGGGAAAAACTATGAGCTCAGCTTGAGGCGCTTGGCATATACAGAAACGTAGGAATTGACGACATCGCACACGTTTGCTTTCATCCAGATCCAAGTTCTAGCACCAGCGATGAGTTGACTTAGACAAGGTTCTCTTGGCTGAACTTCCTCCTGTTGCTGATCAATTCCAGCTTGATCTTTTTGTTGCAGGCCGGATTGCAGAAGGTCCCAAATCAATTTGAGTTCTTTGTAGCTTAGATTTTCGATACTTTTACGAGTTGAGAAGCCCAACTTGGATGATGTAGTGATGGAGACAGGCGTGGCAGCAGGTGCCGCGGTCAATAGTAAAGGTGATTTTTTCATGAAGTCTTGATAATTTTTGACAAAAGTGTCTCTCACGATGATGGACATAAGGGCTGGGGCGAGGAGAGAGTATTCACGATACAAGTCGTGTGCGGATTGAGAAGGAATGGATTGGTTCAGAACATGTTCGATGTTCCAGTTGGGAACAACTGTGTGTGACAAGAAAGTATAGATCTGGTCCATGGAGTAAGCGTTAAAATTGATGGGGTTCATGTCGGTTAACAAATCCACCTGATAAGGGGAACTTGAGGCAGGCAGGGTGCCTTCATATTCCGAAGCGGTTGATGGAGGTGAAGTAGGAGGTGTACTGCGTTGGTACACCTGAGGCTGCATATTAGGAACGGTAAGCATGTTCTGGGTCAAGGGCCAGGCTTGTGGCTGTTGCTGCTGGATGGGCGCTTGCTGAGGAGGAGTAACGGAGCGCTGTTGACTTAATAACAACACTTGTAGTCTGAGTTGTGAATTTTCAGCTCTAATTTCCTCGTTTTGACTTTTGTAGACGTCGACTTGTTGCTGAAGTTTAGTTGCAAACTGCTTTGTTCGTTCTAATTCAATTTCGATGGTAGTCATGTATTCTGAAACAGTGTGAGAAAATTTGGTTACACACTGTTATAGGAGGTGCAAAGATGAACCAAAAAATTGACATACCCTTTCTTCTCGTTCTGAAATTACGAGCTGATATTTTATTGCGAAGTTGTCGTCGTTCTTTAGGTGACATAGCTTTCCACTGAGCCTTGGTGTACGTTTCTACGCCGTCATCATTTTTTGGAACACTGTCCTGGGCGTCACCTACAGTAGCAGAGTCATCACTACTGTGGTTCTCATTAAGTTGGTGATCAGGAGAGTCACCTTCAAAAAGTAGGTTGAATTGGTTGAGAGTGGACATTCAGTGAAGATGAAGAGAAAGGAAGAAAAGAGAGAAGAAAAATAAAAGGGCCGCCAGATATAGGCGAGAGGAAAAATCATCTCCCACTTTAAGACGCCCGCGTGGCTCATTTTCTTGTTCTGGAGCGCAAGCTTGTGCGGAGATGGGGACAGCTTACTCAACCATTTAGGCTTCAATGATTGGATCACAGGCCAGATCGCGAAACTCACCAGGCACCTTCAAGTGATTTTCTGTTGCTTTCTCTCTTCCTCTCTTTCACCATGTCTTCAGACCCTGCTCCTAAGCGTAAGTTGCTTTATCAAACAATCCATCCACTTTGGCTATTACTCATCGCAAATCACCGTAGCCCTCCCCTTCCATTACCAGTTCATCGCTGGTGCGATCGCTGGTATTTCCGAGATCTTGACCATGTACCCTTTGGATGGTATGTATTGTTTCGGATCACACTTTGCTACAAGGAATCAAACGGAAATACTTAATGGCTGAAATTGATAGTGGTCAAGACAAGAGCACAGCTTAGTACTGGCACTCAAAAAGTTGGAATCGTCTCATCATTGAAACAAATTGTTCAGTCTGAAGGGTATGGATATCGTGATAACCGTAAACAATGTCTGAGTAGGGTACTTAACAAAATGACTACAGTGTTCCAGCATTATACCGTGGTATCCTTCCTCCTATCATGGTAGAAGCACCTAAGCGTGCAACCAAATTCGCTACCAACGAACAATATACTGCCATGTACAAGAAGATGTTTGGCGTTGAGAAGATGACTCAGTCTCTTGCTATTCTTACAGGTGTCAGTGCTGGTATCACTGAAGCCTTCCTGATTGTTCCTTTTGAACTTGTCAAGATCAGAATGCAAGATAAAGCCAATGTAAGGATATTTTCTCATCTTTCACGATTTTGCCACTCCGAACCCCGTCCCATCAACTGATTGATCTTATCTAATGATATTATGATTTTGAAAATAGTACGGCAAGTACAACGGCACCATTGATACCCTTACAAAGATTATAAGACACGAAGGTCCATTGGCATTGTTCAATGGCTTGGAAGCTACTGTTTGGCGTCACGCTGCATGGAACGGAGGTTATTTCGGTGTTATCTTTGGAGTTCGAGATGTTTTGCCCAAGGCAGAGGTGAGTGTGCTTCTGGGGAACATGTGGTCAGTGCGGTTCCGATGGCATGATCCAATACTGACGTTGTGGGGTTTTCTTTGCTACAGACCAAGGAAGGTCAACTTTTGATCAACTTCACTGCTGGTGCCATTGGTGGTACCGTCGGTACTGCTTTGAACACACCTTTTGATGTCGTCAAGACCCGGATACAGGGATACAATGGCACTGGACCCAGAAAGTACAACTGGACCTTGCCCTCCGTTGCTCTCGTTGCTAAAGAAGAAGGGTAAGTTAGATCTGACTGACAGTGGAAGAAATAGATGGACCAAATTTTCCATTTCGCATCTGTACTGAACTTTATTTTTAATTCCATCTAGTGCCCTCGCGTTATACAAGGGCTTCCTTCCTAAAGTCCTCAGATTGGGACCTGGGTAAGCTTGGTTGGAAATAGCGTTATTCATCATGTTGCTTAGACTAACTCCTTCATTTATTACAGCGGTGGTATTCTACTTGTCGTCTTCGAAACTGTCTCCAACTTCATCCGTAAGAACATCATGAAGGATTAAAATAGTACGCACGTCTTTCGTAAAACACCTTCTATTGCGCAGTATGTATTGATGAAGCAGAGGTATATTTTTAGAATCGAAAGGTGCTCCCAATTAGACTCTGAGTAAAAAAGAAAATTGAAATACTGGTGTTTATTGTTATTATGACTCTTGCTGTGACTTGTCAACAAACAGATAAGCGACAGGAACAAACAACATAGCGAGCTACAGTGGGATGAAATTCTATAAAGTAAAAAGACGGGCGCTACAATGATGTTGAAGCTGCATCAGCATTTGTTTCGACAATGGCGGCAGTGGCAGCTTCCAGCGCTGTGTTAACACCTTCCAATTGAGTGTCTCGAGGGTCACCATCATCACGGCTTCCACGTTGATCGCAGCTAAATGATAACGGAGTTAGCACGTAAACATTTGGTCATCTCTCTTTCACAAGACACTTACCGAGTGCTTTCTGCGAGTTTTTGGCCAAGTACCGCACCTTCAAACGTGTAGTACCCGTCGCCAAGATAATTGCAAAGCTTCGAAGACCCTGAGTCGTCCTTAGCAAGCTCAATACTTTCCTTACTTAGCGAGCTTCCTCCTGGCAACTTCTCATGTCGAAGGTCCCATCCTAGCCTTCGGCAAAGCTCAGGTACTATAACGTCAGATTTTCCAAGCAATTGAACGTCGAATGTTAGATGTGTGATGGGGGTTCGGTTGATCAAGATTTGAGGAACACTGTGTGGAATCTGGGTCATAATTTCTGACACCGGAGACACTTTAAGGGAAGAGCCCATCACGATCAGCAAGTCGACCTTTTCACTATCCACTGTCAAGCCTTTTTCAAAGTCATCGGGTAATTTCTCGCCAAAGAATGTGATGTCCTAAATAGGAGAATCCATGTGGTGTTAGAACCCATCTTCACGAGAGTCAAAGCTGTGGTCAACTTACGGGTTTAATGATGGACTCTCTTAAACTCGGCAGTCCTGTTTCATCATCTGAGTCATCGTTTGCCTTATTTTGTTGAGCCTTAGTCAGTGCGGAGCATTGAGGGCATTCAGGTACACGCTAAAATCATATCACATGGCATTAGACATCATGGTAATATCAAAGAAGTGGCCACAGGAATGCTAAGCCTACCTGAGCATAAATATCTGCCTCTATATCAGAACCAGCGCACTTGTATCCACACGTAACACATGTCGCCGTCGCAAAGGATCCATGGCAATTGATGACTCGTGTTATCTTTGCCTTATGTTCCAATGTGTCGATGTTTTGCGTGTAATTTCGAAGCAGAACATCCTTTTCCTCTAACAGCTTGACAAATTGATGACTTGGACTAGGTTCAAAGTTGCTGGGATATATCTCTCGGGCAAATGAATAGAAGATTTGAGGGTTTTCGCGAAAGTAATGAATGTCGAACATTTGTTGTGGATCATCCAAATCAAATTCGTCCAGTCGAGCGTAAATGCCTGTCTCTGATCGAAAGTCGGGAATGCCGCAAGATACAGATACACCAGCACCCGTCAGGACCATGATGTTTTTTGCGTTTTTCATGATGTCTACAACATCATCGATGGTATTTACATTTTCCAGTCTTCTTCGCTTTCGTAGGAAACGCGTCATGACCACTCTGAGTAAGTTTAACAATTGCATGTCGTCTGCCAAAAGGGAGATTTTGGATGGCTATGAAAAGAAGGCATCAGAACAGTCCAATAGCGAGTTATTCCACACTAACTTGCGCTTAATTTACCAATTGACAACCGAAAACATCGAGTAGTTGCGGTAAAGGTATCCGCTCCTCAATAACATATTTCTCAATGAATTTGATCATTCCTACAGCAGAATATCAATCACCAAGTCCAATTAAAGGACACGACCGCAAGGATACCAACATACCTAATTGCCTAGCCTGATTCTGTATGCTTTCAGCCTCCTCTTCCGAATACCGTGGCCATGTTGCTAATGAAGCAAAAACAATTAGAAATGTAGAAAGAACTCGAGAGACATTTACGAGCGGTTATACCTTGGTCATCTTCTCCTTCTTCGTCACTGTTACCGTGAAGTTCATTATATTTGTCATTAACCCCAAGGAAGAAGCCATCATGGCTCTCGTCGTCGTCACTAATATCATCACCGTTATCTGAATCTCCCTCGTTCCAGTCCCCATCGGATTCTTCGTTATAATCTTCGTCGAAATCCTGATAGAGAGCAGTCAATCCCGGCTCGGTCTTTTCGCTTTCCGATGGTTGACCGGTGACAGTTTCGACGTTCGTCGAGGGGAACGCCATGGGATGAACGTGCTCGCCACTACCTTCGAGGCCCAAATCCTGAGGATAATCCTTTTCTAACAAGCTGGCGGACTCCGGACCAGCCTCGGTTTTAGCCACGGCTAATTTGGAGCGTTTTATTCTATTGGATTCGTCTTGGTCTTCATCAGGCTGCAGCACCCGTTTTTCCGCTTGCATCTCGACATCCTCCTTCGACCGATCCTCTGACCGTTCCGCTTTGCCTTCTTTAGATCCAGACAAAAGTTCTGCTTCCATGGAACGAAATTCTTTTTGCAGTTGACTATAGATTATTTTAACTTTCAGGAGAAAAAAACCGTCAATGAGCACGGATCACTTGTTTTTTCGAATATTTATACGTCACCAGCGCCGTCTGACTAATTTGTTTGACATTTCACACAAAAAGTGAAACAATGGTATTTTCAGTTAAACAACGGGTGTTGTGCTTCCGGCAGGAGCGCTAGAGAGCAATTGTGGTACGTGCCTGGAATATAATGGAGTAATGGCAGCTATACCAACGCAATCGGAAACATAACTGTCCGTGTAACCTTTCTGTGTTGGCATATTGTTAAAACGAGCAGCATTGAAAGTTTCTGGCGCATTTGCAAGTTGCCGCATCCAATTTTCGATATAATTCTTTGATTAAACACCAAGATTGTTTTCATTGAATGTGTGACATGCGTAATTTAATTCGATTTGATTATGAATACATCGCGGGTATGTAACAAAGACTATGTAAATGATCAAACAGCTAGTTTGTAACTCAGCAGGTATCCTCCTTCAGCTCCACGGTCCATACCACTGGCTTGTCTGTTTCTATTTCCACAATATCCGATGCAAGGACATTAGAGGTGCTAACCATACCTCCAAAGTGACATGGATAGTCGGCTATAACATGTTAGTCAACAAACTGAAAGAGTCGGTAAACTGTCATGCATGGCATTCAGTACTTACTTAAATTCCAGCGTAAACCACGAGTAGTCAAAACAATGGGTCCACCTAAAGGCATGATACCACATGTGGGACCTGGTAGAGTAATCAAAGCCATTAAATTTAATTTCTACTTCAATGTATCCTCTTACAATGGATAAATACCTTCAAGTTGGCGGTTACATTCAATTCTGTGTTTGCCCTGAGGATGAAAGAAGGAAATCAGCATATGACTGGGCTTATTAACTGGTAGTTCAGTTAATGATCTTACCTCATCCAAAAGGATGGTCAAATTCTCGTCACTGACAAGAAGTGTTTGGCGATCTGTTTCGTCTTTCAGGAAATAAAGCTGATTGATACTTGCTATGGTCTGATCAAACCTTCCACCAAGTGCAGGAAAAGCAACAATATCGTACTGTCAACCAATGATTTAGCACTCAATTTCAAAATCAGGTGTGAAAAAATGCTCGTATTAATTTACCTTGATGCCATCCTTATTCTTATCACTAGTTTCTTTTTTGCGCAAAAGGGAGATGCATTTCATAAAGTCGGTCGAATTCTGGTCATGGTCTTGCGAAACTTCAACGTTCTTCGACTCATAATAGTCGCGTACATCTTTTCGTAGCGAATCCAAGTCTCCATGTACAGCGTGAGGTAGGTACCTGATGCATGCTGTCAGTCAGTGTTCGGTGACTCACAACTGGCCCAAAATTTTATAAAAAAGTTTACTTCTCTCGCAGTTCCACATCGTCCTCGAATGCATCATAAAGCCTGTTAGCCCCCCCGTCGGCGCAGAACCGATAAGAAGCTGCAGGATCAAACTGATCAGTATTGATCAACTTTTCGCCACGAGCAAAGTCAAACGTGAATGAGCATACCCTCTGACCATAGCTTCTTGAAAATGTCTAACCTATTTAATTTTTGGTTGAGAATAATAAGCGCATAAGGTCTTAAGGGTTTCTCAAGAGATAAGACGTCTGAGGGTCGCCATTGTCGCATGGTGAAAGTGTCCGAAGCTCAACAGAGAACTGCAGCATGATTGATGTCCGCAATTGTGACTGGCAATATTCTTTCATTTTTTGATTTTGGTTTTTTTTTTTTTTTCTTTCAGATCAGCTTCATAGAACACCATGGGCAAGAAAAGAGTAAGTCATTGTAGTACGCTAGGGTCACTTTTAGTGCTTCGCAGGAAACTAAGCAAAACACTCTTTACAGAGAAAGACGAGAACGCATCAACGGGTCGAGGACGAAACGGATCCTAGCAAAAAAGCACCAAAGAGTTTTGTCATAAGATCGGGCGCTGTCGGCCGATCTGTCACGGCATTGGTTAAGGATGTCCGAAGATTGATGGAACCAAACACGGCTTCACATCTTAAAGTAAGTATCATTCTTGCAGATAGCCCACATCGAACAAAAACTAACTTTTATGGACTATAGGAGCGTAAAACCAACCGGTTACGTGATTTCGTCATGGTCGCAGGTCAATTGGGAGTATCACATTTTATGATCTTCAGTCGAACTGAGAAGGGTACCAATATGAGAATCGCTCGTGTTCCTCGTGGTCCAACGCTGACGTTCAAAGTCGAACAATACGCTCTATCAAAAGATGTACTCGCTTTGCAACGGACCCCTAAAAGCCCCGGTGTAGAGTTTTTGACAAGTCCACTCCTTGTTTTGAACAACTTCAATCAAGAAGGAAAACAATTCAAGCTCATGACCACCATGTTCCAAAACATGTTCCCTTCCATCAATGTGCAAACCGTGAGTTATTCGATTGCAGCATAGCATTAAAGATTATGACTGCGTAGAGACTAAAACCCAATTGATTGATCTTTATAGATGCAATTGGCTGATGCTCGAAGAGTCGTTCTCCTCAACTACAACAGTGATACCAATATGATAGATTTCCGACATTACGCTATCGGCGTTAAGCCAATTGGCGTATCCAAGTCTGTGAAGAAAATCATTACCACCGAAGTGCCCAATTTGGCCGACCTCGAAGATATCAGCGAATACGTCCTTCGCGAAGCTGTTATATCCGAGTCAGACGTTGAGGATGGCCCTGAATCAACCGTTACTTTGGGTCAGGACTATGTTGGCCGTGGAAACAGACAGAGTGAACAAAGAGCTATCCGTCTGCATGAAATTGGCCCAAGAATGCAACTCACCTTGACCAAAGTTGAAAATGGCCTTTGCGGCGGTGAAGTTCTTTACCATCATTTCGGTAAGTTGAAGATCCTTCTTCACCTTTCTACCTTGAAGGTTGGATGCGAGCTCAGCGTATGGTTACTAACATCTTGCCAATTTTTACAGTTGAAAAATCCTCAACTGAGATCAAGGCACTTACAAAGAAAAGACAAGAAAAGGCCAAACTCACGGCACAACGACGATCGAAGCAGGAAGAGAATGTCAAGAGAAAGCAGCAGGAGAAGGAAGAGCATCGTCTGCGTACTGGAGGAGCACCAGTCAAGAAGGATGACGAAGAGAACAGCGGCCAAGAGAGTGATGGTGATGAAAATATCGTCAGTGGCGACGAGAGCGGTGAAGAAGATGAAAGTGAAGGCATCGATGATCTTGAAGAAATGGAAGAATGAACGCGCAGCGTTGTGTAAACCACGTTCTACATACCTCATTGCACTTATTAAATCCTGTAAAAGGATTTTCATTTTTGTTCATCACCATTCATTTGCATTTTTAGTTATAGACCCTTACATTGCTAGCCGTTGTCCCTCCATGTACAGTCATATATGTATTTTCCTTGCCCAAATAAAAAAGAAAGCAATTCATCAAATCTGTTCATCGTCTGTCTTGCAGCGTTCTGCCAAAATGATCGGTTAAAACAGATTCTCAACTACGGATATCACTCAAGCACTACTCGCTCATGACCCAAATTCCATCTACACGCTTCAGAATAAACCTGAGATTTATTTCTATACAGTTACGCATTTGTTTATGTACAGTTTGCTGTAGGCATGACAAATGTAATGTTCATGCCATAGCACTGAGACTCTCAAAGGATAAAAGAAGGAGTCTTGCTTAGGGCGTGGCATACTGCAAAAGACGACAGTTTAGTACAGGGGCTACACGACCGTGCCGTGATGGTGTACTTACCTTCTTAACATAATCTTTGGCAGTCTTATTGAACTTTGTTCTGTTGGTGGTATAGACCTCTCCAATGGATGCCACCAAGGCATCCTCAGGATTTGGGTTCTCCAAGAGATCCGAAATTGAACCAAGAACTGCGAAGCCATATGTCAGCCAGCAGGGCGCGCAGCCTATCTCAAAATACCCACACTTACCTTGATGCAATTTAGTGGCTGGTTTCCAGACATCGTTCTTTAGAAGAGATACGCATATTGAACCGTCATCGTCAATATTGGGGTGATATACTTTGGTGATGAACTTGACAACGGGTGGCTTGAAAGGATAGTCGGCTGAAAAAACGATATCCAATTTGAACACACCACCTTTGTATGCACTGTTAGCCTACAAAAGGAGTATGTTAAAGGGACTGCGGGTTGTCAAGTGAGAATCTATACCCATAGTTTGCCACATACCGGTCCAGCAATAGATCCTATAAAATAAAGTCAGTCAAAGTTTAAAACAGGCCGTTGAACAATGGTGGTAAAAGGATGTACCTTGCCAATGGAACATGTCTTCATCGATTGGGCCTGCGCTGATCCCAGGTTGTGGATTCTTGTTAAGTTCTGCTAATTCCTGTACTTGCCATAGTTAAGTTTGTGTTGCCGTTCGAGTTTAAACGCTGCTATCTAACCTTTTGAATGCGCTTCAGAGCCATGATTCAAGTTTCTTTTACCGGGTAGAAAAGAAGAGTTGTGTTATACTCCTTCCGCTAGCCGCACTAATTTTGGCGCATCTCTAAAAATCACAACACACGTCATCTGAGCCACTGTAGAAGCCCTTTAACATGGCACTGCGGTTTGGTAACAACCACTCTACAAATAGTAGTCTGAATATCCTGATCTATAAGCTGCGTAAATGTCATGATGCTTATTATGGCATGGATCAAGTGCATGGATATGGCCAACCATTCATGCAGCTGTAATAGGTCAAGGAGTATGTTGTTATCAACACGATCCGACAATGTATAATCTTCTGGTTTTCATATTCCATGAATAAAACAGTATCAAAAAATAAGCTATATGACAGATTTTGCATTTGTAGTTTTTGGAAGTGTGTGTTGCAAGCCATTATGTCATAAACTTCAATTTCTCCACTCGATTTCTCGAACTTTTTTCTTCTACATAACACAATGCCACCACGATTCGGAGGAGCTCCCAAATGCCCGAGATGCGATAAATGTAAGCTATCTATAGCCATCACGTAGTGCTTTCTGCGCCATATTAACAATGCAACCACCATAATGGTACTTTGTCCGTCCAAAGACGTATATATGGCGGAACAGGTATAGTCATTCACAAAGGTTCTATGAAGGGTATTCGGTAGGAGACATAACTGACAGGAATCAACCAAAACAACTCGAATTAGGTGCTAGGACCAAACAGTGTATATTACCACAGAGCTTGCTTTACGTGCAAGGTAAGAGGAGGGCAAAGGTGAAGTGATATCAGCTTCAAGCATACTTATACTTCTTGAAAGGAATGTAACAAGTCACTTGATTCAACTACAATGGCGGAGCGCGAGGGACAGGTAATTAGTGCAGTGCTGGGAGAGATTTGGATGTAAGCAGCTTGGAGTAACAGCATTTGTTGCTTCAATCAATGATAGGCTTATTGCAAAACTTGTTACAATCGTCAATGGGGTCCCAAAGGATATGGATCTGGAGGTCTTTCATTCATGCACACGGAAACTAAAACAGCCAAGGAAGTCTTGGCCGAGTCAGACTGGGCAGCAGAGCAAGCGGCAACATCGAAGGTACCAACGAACTTTAATCAAGCTGCGGTCCAGCCGGCGTCACCGCAGCAAACACAACCGATCGCAGCTCCCAGCCTACCAGCCAGACCCACAAACAATGCTCCATCACTACCTTCTCGACCGATGGTCACCAAAAACGCTTCAGCTCCTCCTGCAATCCCGCCAAAGCCGTCGACTGTAAACGAGCGTCCCAGCGCTTACGTCAACAGCAGAACGGGATATGTACCGAAGAAAATGAGTTTTCAGGTCAACAGCGATTTATGTGCAAAATGCGACAAACCAGTGTACGCTGCCGAACTCATTCTCGGCGCAGGCAAAAAGTACCACAAAATGTGTTTCCGGTGCTTAAAGTGCAACAAATTGTTGGATTCTACGAGCATGGTAGACAAGGGGTTTGATATATATTGCCGGCCTTGCTACAGTAAAGATTTTGGACCTAAGGTTGGTTTAGCTATGGCTTTTTTTTTTACTGGGAATGAGTCTCGCTTTTGCTCAAACATTAACATTCCTTAGGGTTATGGTTACGGAGGACTATTATCGACTGAAGGCGCTACCCGATAGAATAATGCTTCTACTCATAATAAATATTGCGACGGTTCAGTATTTGCAAGTTGATACAACTTCAAATGTGAGATGGTTTAGTCGAGTATATATTTGTTCTGAGATGCTTGATCCACAGCGGACCAGCTGAGAAGCAACTGGTAGACGTTATGTGACGTGTGTAGCCAAGCGATCATAGATACCCGAGTTTTGTGGCATCACCCTAATATCACAGTGCATAATGCAGAAGCCAAAAGAATATAATCTACTCGCACTCAATGTTTCTTCTATTATCCTTTTTTGGAGTTTAATTCCAAGACACTCACGAGCAAAGCGTCAACGACCTATTTTCAAATTTGCTTTTAGCTGGTGAACCATTGCTGGGAGCTATTTTGTTCTATTATCTCTATCGTACTGATACAGTATCATGGTTCTATATGTGTTTCATACACTTAGCTGCGAGTAAAATTGGTTGCTCAAAGGCGAATTCACCACGTTCTTATCCTTGTACATATGCCGGTGACCCAATTTGGATAATTTACAGAAGCTACACGTTTCTGTACATGGCGTTCTCAGAACATTAAGTAGGGCCCGTTATCGACTACTGATTTTCAATCTACGACATGTACGGGCAGATAACATTGAATTGACGTTTAATGCAATGGCAGGGGTAGAAAATGGGAAAAAGATTGTGTACGGATGCAAGGATGAATATAGTGAAAGTACAAAAATGGGAAGGATCAAGACGAAGTTAAAGCCAGTTCAAAGTGTCACTGAGCCTTCTAGAGAAAATGAAAAATTCATGAATACAGGAAACCAACATACAGATAATGAACTTGCTGGACGGCTCATAAGCCGCGGATGACAGTGCGAAATTCTTCCTCATCACCTCCGCTGCGTCTTTTTGTTCCGTTATCTTCTTTGGCGTTGTCAATGCAATGCATCTCGTAGTCGCGCGGTCCTTGGTTGATTGCGGCTGTGGATCCTCTGGAACATGACGGTGCCGATTTCCCGGTGACCGGATAATGTGTAAGTGGCAAATTTTGTGGGTCTATATCAACAACAGTGTCGCTGGAGTTCACATTGTCACTTCCCGACATGCGGTAATATGGAGAGTCATTGGTATGGAGCCGTTTAATGCCAAATAAGGTTCTTGTAATCCATGCCTTGAATTTGTGGTCTTTCGCATTGGGCGAATTTGTATCCCCATATCTTTCAATCATGGCCAATTTGATAACACTTAGAGCATTGGATAAGGCGGGGTCCATACAGAATGCCAGTAAATTCAAAACACCTGGTAAATCGGTGCCAGAAATGGCCCAATATGTAATGCCAGTGTCCTGCACACAGATGGAACAAATGTATCATGTTAGCTTCCAAGTTTTCCTTTTTTCCCGCCTTTTTTTTTTGAGGAAAATCGCAGTCTCTTTTTTTTTGGGGGGGGGCTTACCAGGCGATGTTGAAACTGCATTATCATTTCACTGATATACCAGCCGCCTTGCGTGATTATGGGTATCAAAGCATACATGGAAATTCGAAAAACTAGTTGACGTAACAGCCGGTGAGTTATTTTAGACTTCTGCTGAGTGGTAGCATCGGGTGATGCTTTGCTAGATGTGTAGGCTCCGAGAATAGAGACATTTTGTCGTAGTCGGAGGATGACGGCAACCACCACCAAAAAGCAGTATATACTCCCTAAAAGGTTCCAGATAAGGAACGTGGCCCATTCCCAAGCGATAGTGCTTTTTGAAGAGTAGGACCTGAACCAGCAGGACCCATAGAATGGATCATAGCCCAGTCGCCCGGCAGCCTATGGTAGCACAACATAAACGGTGCATTTGACATTTCGGCGATCAGCGCGGTTGAGCAGAAGTATCTACATTCAATGCGGTGACTTACCAAAGGCGGGATGGTTGTGATGAAGGCTAGAGCTATGGAGACTGAAAAGTATGCGGCCTCGAGATGCCTATGGACTGGATTCTTATGTAGAAAGATCTAGTGATTGATAGTGCCAGGGGTTCCAGAAATATCAATGTACCATCATTCAGTCAACCTAAATAAATTTTTTCCTAAACTTACCCATTGGAGATTGAAAGCAATGGCAACTGACAAAAAGGTATATAGATTTGTGAGGAATAAGACAAACCAAGCAGTAGCACTACATGTAGCTCCGGGAGTCTCTACGTATGTGAAGATAATGTACGCGGCCGCCTTGATGACATCCACTGCACTAACAACGGCAGTCAAGCGTAAGCTTACACGATCGACCAAGGTTTTATCATACGCTCGAATGGCGAGAAGGATGATGCATACAATGGAGCCGCAAACAATACTTGCTGGGTTTAGAGTAAGGTTCAGGTACATAAAGACCGAAGATTGCTACGGTGGATGAGCTTCACATCAAGGGTTACTATAGAGACAGTATTGTAGAAACTTACATATTCTCCCATCAGTAGTTTGTAGCCCGGATCAAAATCCCAATCAGAAACGTCGAGATCCGGCGTGGGGGTATTCGGATATAGTTCTGTTGCGTTCACCATAAATCAGCAGGTTAATTGTAATCAAGAACAGAAAAAGAGGAATCGAAGGGAAGTAGAGAGAAGAAGGCCACTTTGAATTTGGAAATGTTACGGGACTGTTGAAAAGAATGGCTAGCATGTACTAATTGATAGTGTTTTATAACCCGGTCCCTGTCTACAATGGTACAGAAACCTCAGGCGATGTGGATTTTTACTAATATGGCCTCAGAATAAAACACCGGTGTACTCAGCGAACAGCCCTTGAAAACAAAGTTGTGTGCTTGTTGAATGAGGTGTATACTTTACCATGCTCCGAGCCAAAAAAAAATTAGGGTCGATTGCATGCCTGTGCTCCCAGAAAAATATCCCGCAAGGTTAAAGTCGACAGCGCCTACGGTCTTTTTACTTTTCCTCCTTCTTTTCATTTGTTATCCTTCCCTTCCTTATTATCCACCTTAATAATGCGGTCTTTCACAGCGTTGTCTCTCGCCGTGATGGCTTGCGTTCTTTCCACAGGAGCGGAAGCTGCTACCAATCCTTTTCCTATGCCAAAATGTCATGGGTTTACTCTGGAAGAAGCTACTATTGACAGTATTCAAGCAAGATTGAAATCTGGTCGCTTAACCAGTCACCAGCTTGTGGAATGCTATGTGGACCGTGTTGAAAAGATCAATCCTTACATGAAGTACGTGCTATAATTTTTTTTTCTTACATGCATGATGTCCTCATGTATGATATAATGTGACATGAAACTGGGTTTCATGTCACCTCGAAAACGGCAACTAAAAATCTTCCTTAGAGGTGTCATTGAGCTCAACCCTGACCTGTATAAAATTGCTGATGACCTTGACAAAGAGCGTCATCACGGCAAGGTTCGTAGTGCTATGCACGGTATTCCCATCCTCGTCAAGGATAATATTGCCACTGCCGATAAGATGAACACCACTTGCGGTTCTGACGGTAAGTTTAAAATGGACCCTTAAATTGTATTTCTACTGTTTCACACATGAGCTGCAGATTGATATTTTGAGTTTTTTTTTGGTCCCGGTAGCACTAATTGGATCGATCGTACCGCGTGATTCCCATGTTGTTGCACTTTTACGTCAAGCTGGAGCTATCATTATGGGCAAGGCGAACCTGGCTGAGTGGGCTGACATTCGGTCAGACAACTATTCGGAAGGATGGTCTGCTCGCGGTGGTCAGACTCGGAACGCATACAATCTCACTCAGGATCCCGCTGGTTCATCTTCCGGAAGTGCCCACTCTGTGTCTTCTAACTTGGTTACGGTCGCCATTGGTACTGAGACAGATGGCAGTGTCATCGGCCCTGCTCAACGCGCTGGGATCATTGGTATCAAACCAACTGTTGGTATCACTTCCCGAAATGGTGTTATCCCTGAATCCCATTCTCAAGATACCGTCGGTACATTTGGTAGAACTTTCAAAGACGCTGCTCATGTATTGAATGCTATTCGTGGTATTGACAAGCGCGATCCCGTCACTGAGGAACAAAAGGGTCGTGTCCCACATGATTATACCAAGTTTGTTTCTTCCAAGAAAGCTCTGAAGGGTGTTCGTATTGGTATCCCGTGGAAGCGTGTATGGCAATCCTCTACAACCGTGAACCAGCTCCCTCAACTTTTCAGCGCCATTGATGAACTGAAGAAGGCTGGTGCCATCATTGTTAACAATACTGACCTGCCTAGCATTGAAATCATCTCATCCGACCCTCCTGCGTGGAATTGGATGTACAAAAATGGACTCGGTCTCAATAACGAGTCAGAGTTCACCGTTGTTTGCTATGAATTCAAGCGTGACTTGAACAACTATCTCTCCGAGCTCAAGTCCTCTCCTGTTCGTACCCTCAGCGACATCATCCAATACAACCTTGACCACCAAGACACTGAGATGAAGTATTTCAAACAAGAGCTTCTCGTACAATGCGATAGCGACCCTTTCACTGAAGAAGAATACACCGCTGCTGCCGCTTATATACACAAGACCACTCGCGAGCAAGGCATCGATGCTGCTTTGAAGAACCATAAAGTTGAAGCTCTGCTTGTTCCCTCTGACAATTGGAGCTTGTGTACTCAAATCCCTGCTCAAGCGGGCTATCCTATCGTAACTATTCCTGCTGGCATCGATCCTTTTGGTAAGTGACGAGCATCGTGAGCTGCATGGTATCTCATTTCGGTCGTTGACGCGTGTTGGTTTGTTTAAATAGGTGTTCCCTTTGGAATCAGTTTATGGGGAACTGCTTACTCTGAGCCTACTTTGATCAAGCTAGGCTCTGCCATTGACGACACTCTCCGTCGTCGTAAATTGCCCCAGTTCTTAGAGCACACTGCCACTAATATTCCCGTTAACAACGAATACGGCTTCTACTTCTCTTGAATTTTCAAGTAGTCCTTGATTGCAAGAGCTTCTATATTTATCTACCTCAATAAAAAGAAAGCCAGAGCAGTCAATCAAAAAGTTATATGTATTGGTTGGTTGGATGCAAAAAAAGGTACAGGTTTGAATCTATGGTCTCAGTTTTATGATCTCATGTCTGCACATGTCTAAGCTTCCATGTGTACTGGGCCTGATTCAGTTTCTGAGTCGGTCGAATCGTCATCAGCACAGTCCTTGGTGGTCGTTCGTTTATCTGCAAGTATATCCCAATGCTCTCGCTTTAATAAAAGCTGCTGCAGTTGCCTCTGCGACGGAGGTTTGTAGTTTGGGTTGAGGCGATTGAGAAATTGTACAAAGTGTGGATTTTCGATAGTTTTGAACGGCACATCCGCGGCAAATAGCGCACGAGCAAGACTCCAGTCTAATGTAGCTTGGTGCGAGACATCCAGGTTACCTGGAGAGACTACCACGCGAGAGGCTGACGATGAAACCTGCGTAGATGGCAAGTTGTAGGACGCCCTTGCCAGAACTTGTAGAGCATCATCTAAGTCAGCCGTGGTATTTGTCTCGTACGTAACGAACGGAGGGTGATGTTTGCCTTTCCCAAGGTTGCGTGAAGATAATTCTTGACGCACCACGTCAGGTACATGCGGACATATTCGTGTCAAGTGCCTGTATAATCGGGTTATACTGGATGCCTGCTGATGGTCGCAATAGTGGCATCGAGCTCGTTTGATTCGACTTCCTGGATCGTCATAGGTGGTGAAATGATTCCAAATGTCAGACGGCGGCCGAGGCATTAGAGCTGTTATTCCACCATGGTGAAGTCAGTAACCTAAGAACTGCCAGTGCTTTGTAGTAGCTCAGGGCAGCGTGGACGCTGTTCCTTTTTGTATCAACTTACCTATTTACTTTGTTGGTTTTGCTGTTTCAAAACGGCGTTCGCTTTTGAGAAAAATGAAAGGAAATTTTTGGCTGCGGACGCAAAAAAATCGTCCGGCGTACCTTTAGGCCGACATATTATATTGAAATTAAAGAAGTTTGCCTTAATACTCAACCTTGGCATTGATAAGATCAAACAAACAAAGAAATCTGATTGAATGCATATATAGATGAGGATGCTATTGTAGAGCTGGCGTGTCAATGGTGAACTCTAGCTTTTATGTAGGGAGAAAACACGTGATTTGGCCTGTAATCAAAACCAGATTTTTACGCACAGCACCATTCAGATCATACACATTTGTCAACCATGGATTTCCAGAATCGTGTAGGAAGCAAGACAGGTGGTGGTGGTGTTGCAAGCGCCTCAGAAAGCAATGTCAATCGTCGTGAACGTCTTCGAAAGCTGGCCCTCGAAACCATCGACATTAGCAAAGATCCCTACTTTATGAAAAACCACTTGGGATCTTACGAATGTAAATTATGTTTGACACTACACACCAACGAAGGATCGTACCTTGCCCACACACAAGGAAAGAAGCATCAGACCAACTTGGCACGAAGAGCTGCTCGTGATGCTCAGGATGCGTCTAATGCACCTACAGTCACTGGACCCAACCAAGGTCCATTGCAAGCTCGACGTAACATCATCAAGATCGGTCGACCGGGTTACAAAGTCACAAAGGTGAGAGATCCAGTCACTCGCCAGATGGGTCTCCTGTTCCAAGTCCAGTTACCTCAGATCGCAAACGACGTAACTCCACGACATCGTTTCATGTCTGCGTATGAGCAAAAGATTGAAGAACCTACCAAAACTCATCAGTATCTGCTGATTGCCGCAGAACCATACGAAACCATTTCATTCAAGGTGCAAAGCAAGGAAATCGATCAGAGTCAGGGAAAGTTCTGGACGTATTGGGATAAAGACTCTAAGCAATTTTCGCTGCAGTTCTTTTTCAAAAACCCTTCATTTGAGAATGAAAATATTGCACCAACGAATTAGATCTAGCAAATAGTTTATATCTTGCCACTGCATCTGTTTTAAAATCTTGTAATATAGTTCTGTTTCCACCCAAGCCAAGCCATCTTTATTTTGTGTTTACCTTTGAATGAGCTCATAGAGATCATGTTGCTACTTGACGACTGCGACAGTCAAAATATTTTGGACGTGGAGAAATACCCATCATAAAATTCGCTATGGCTGGCTAGCTTATTCATCATTCAAGGTTTATAATCAAACATCTGTCCATTTTCAGGTCGTTCAAAACACCGTGGTGGATTGATTGAACCTTGATTCAGTCGAAATTAAAATTGGGTATAACGGTGCGTTTCGTATTGTCACCGAAGGGTATTGTTTTAGTTACCCGCAAATATTCGGGAACAAGGTAAAATTAGAAAGATATGTTATAATTATGCCACGAGGTATCTGCATCCGACGAACTAGCAAGGCCAGTATGATCGTTGCAAGCCATGTAAGTACATCAACACAAGTTTCTGCTTGGCTACCTATACTTTGTTTTACTCATTGAGAATTTTTTTTTTTTGGGGGGTAGTTCTGCTTTACCGAGGGCACGAGAATACCCTTTTTGAAAATGCTTATCAAGCATACTGACATAGGAGAAAGTGGACGGTGATATGGGATGAAACGGATATATTTGTGCCAGGTAAGTCAGGGAACCAAAATTGTACAAAATTATTCTTTAAGCATCTATGGTTGAGAGTCAAGCTCGGAAGCCAACAATTGCTCCATTATCTATGGCTAAAACCTTAAGGAGATGTATTAAAATACATATGCATGCATAACAATGAAAAGGCCAATGCTGGTGGCCATGAACAAGGAGACGGAGAGAAACACATCCTGTCCGTAAATTTGTTTTCGGGGGAAGCTCCTCGGTGATATTGGTGCCTATTTATATAAGCCAATCTGAATGCCAAGTATAAACGTAGTGTTTTCCTACTCTCGTAACTTCTTCAACATCCTCTTCTATTCATAACAGTATGTCCATCAAGTCCATCTGCTGCATTGGTGCTGGCTACGTTGGCGGACCTACTTGTGCTGTCATCGCCTACAAGTGCCACGATATTAAGGTCACCATCGTCGATCTCAATCAAGCTCGTATTGATGCCTGGAACAGCGATAAGCTACCTATCTACGAACCAGGATTGGAGGAAGTAGTCATGGCAAGACGAGGTAAAAACTTGTTCTTCACCACCGACGTCGATAAAGGCATTCAAGAGGCCGACTTGATCTTCGTCTCTGTCAACACTCCTACCAAGAAGTCCGGTTTGGGCGCTGGTATGGCTGCTGACTTGGCTTACATTGAAGCTGCTACTCGTCGCATTGCTCAAGTTTCCAAGAGCTCCAAGATCGTTGTGGAAAAGTCAACTGTGCCCTGTAGAACCGCTCAATCCATGCGCACTATTTTGGATGCCAACTGCACAGAGAACATCCGATTTGACATTTTATCCAACCCTGAATTTTTGGCCGAGGGTACAGCTATCAAGGATTTGATGAACCCTGACCGTGTCTTGATTGGTGCTTTGCAAACACCCGAGGGAATCAAGGCACAAAACGCTCTTGTCAGTGTTTACAACCATTGGGTCCCAATAGACCGCTGCATCACCACCAACTTGTGGTCTTCCGAACTTTCCAAGTTGGCTGCTAATGCCATGTTGGCACAACGCATTTCCTCCATCAACGCCCTCTCCGCCATTTGCGAAGCTACTGGTGCTGATGTTGATGAAGTTGCTTATGCCTGTGGTCGTGACTCACGGTTGGGCTCCAAATTCCTCAAGGCATCTGTTGGTTTCGGAGGCAGCTGTTTCCAGAAGGATATTTTGAACTTGGTATATCTGTCAACGCAGTTGAATTTACCTGAAGTTGCTGCCTATTGGAAGCAAGTCGTAGATATGAACGAATATCAAAAGAAGCGATTTGTCCAGCGTATCATATCCACTTTGTTCAACACCATCACCAACAAGAAGATTGCTGTCCTTGGCTTTGCCTTCAAGAAGGATACCGGTGACACTCGTGAATCAGCCGCCATTACCTTGATCAAGGACTTTATTCAAGAACATGCTCGCGTTGCCATCTATGACCCCAAGGTCGAACATGAGCAAATCATGATGGACTTGACTGAGCCTGGCGTGTTGGACAACCGAAAGCAAGTCGAACAACATGTTCAAATTTGCGGCAGTGCTATGGAGGCTGCCGACGGTGCTGATGCATTGATTATCTGCACAGAATGGGATGAGTTCAAGGATACAAACCTCGACTATAGCCAGATCTACGAGAAAATGCATAAGCCTGCTTTCTTGTTCGATGGTCGTCTCATTCTTGATGCTCCTAAGCTTCGAGGCATGGGATTCAAAGTCCAGGTCATCGGTAAGACCGAGCTTGCTGGCACTGCATAGATTAATCAACGTATAGTCCTTATAATAAAAAAGAAGAGTTGGTGTGAGCAGTTTTATAAAACCTCTGTGTTAAAACATTCCTATGCTGCGGTGGCAGTAATAGAGCGCGGCAGTGACAGACTTCTTTCAATATTCAAAACGTTGCATTTTAGTTTATTTTCAGGTTTTTTTTTCTTTTCTTTGCTATGCTTGCATTCCAGCGTCAAGAAATAGCGTGTATATACAGTATTGTGCAACAGAGTCTGCGCCAATGCTGGATGATATGTAATTGACGCAAGCCTTGTCGCAAAAAACAGTATGTAATTCTATGAAAGTGCCTTGGTGGGTGGGTGTACGGTATGTTGTATTGTTAGTGGTGCAAATGAAGCAATTAACGCTTGACCCTGTAAAAAGAAAGAAAAGAAAAAACATGCATTCAGTACTTTCATTCAACCTTCTAAAACATTTGCAAAAGTCTGCTTTTCTTACCAGGTGTACTTGGCACGAGCGCCCTTCTGACCTTCCTTCTTACGTTCAACAACTCTTGGATCTCGAGTAACACATCCAGCTGCAAAATTTTCAAGAATGAGAAAAAGAGAATATGTGTCATGCGTATAACATCCCTATATACTGTACCTTTTCGGAGAGTTGGCTTCAACTCAGGGTCATGAACAAGCAGAGCTTTACCAAGACCAAGCTTGATGGCTTGAGCTTGGCCAGTGGAACCACCACCTTCAACAACAATCCATGCGTTGAATTTTCCAAGAGTGCTAGTGCATTCAAATGGCCAGGTGACTTCTTCTCTATCGACAAGGCGGTTGAAGTATGCGCCAAGTTCTTGTCCATTGACCATGATTTTGCCTTCTCCCTCAACTACATAGCATCGAGCGCTGGACTCCTTTCTTCGGCCGACTGCAAAGGATCGGCCCAAATCATCCAACTCTTTTCGCTTGATTTGTGTCTGCTGAGCCGAGTCAAATCGAGTATACTTGGACAATTCACTTTCGACTTGTACAGGCAAAGGCTTTGGCAGCGATGCGAGCATGTTGAGCTGTGTGACAATCTTTCTCCATTGTGAGGTGGTGAGCGGGATACCCAAGAATTCAGACATCTTATCTCGAAGCTTCCAGGTATACACTTGGTTGGAAGGCTCGGCTTCAGATGCAAGATCGGATGGTAAGACAGCAGCAGTGCTGGCTTGTTGTTGTGGCTTATTGTGAAGCTTGTACATGGCATTCAACTCAATGAGGAGGTCATTGTACTTGTAGTTGCCGGTAAAGTATGAAAGTGAGTCAGGCTTTTCTCGGTAGGCGAGCATGTCTTCCTGAGAGTTGGTGGCAGCACTGTAGGTTGAAGCATTGCGAATTGTTCGGCAGGCGATGGGGGCCAATAGATTGACTTTAGAGGTGGTGTGGACAATGGCAGCTCTTGAAAAGGCGGACAAAGTGCCGCGAAGGAGGGTCGAGGCCATGTTGTCCTATAAAATTAAGTAAGAGTTATTTCAAGGAGCAACTGGGATATTTGTTGAATACCTCTCGTTGACGTCCAAGCCACCCATAATTTCAGTGATTTCACTGACAAAAATATCTGATTTTTTGGCTATTCGCTTAAAGAGAGAGGTGCCCATATTTTAGCACAATGGCCATTGTATGATTATATTTACTATTAAAAGCTTCACATATTAATTCTTCATTACTAGTTAGCTAGTAACCTGGGGGGCCTCTTAGCCGTGTTGTGATGAAGTGAGAGGTGCCTACGTGACTGCGTTTCATCTGTGTCGGTGCTGAATTCGCACTTCGTCCAACTTTTTTTTTTAAGATACGAATTGCAAAGAGACACACATATTCACCACACCTAATTCTAAAATGAGGGCAAAGCGACAAAAAGTATATAAGCGTGCAATGCACTCCTATCAAACTGCATTTGGATTCCGAACACCATACCAAATTCTACGTACGTTAAGCAGCAAGATCTATACCCACTCCATTCGACTTGAATTGCTAACATATTGTCATTCTACTAGTTGACGGTGACTTCGTACAAGAAGGTCTTAATAACAAAATTTATATGAAAGATATTTTACCAAGCACACTAATGGGACCAACCAAACAGCGTAAGTCTATCAAGACCATTAAGGATCAATCATAGAGTACGGTTAAATTGACATGATGGTTACAGTTATCACGTCGTGCGCTATCGCAGAGTTACGAAGCAAAGGAGATGATTTTAGTGGAGCGGTTATAGCATCCAAGCGATTTGAACGAAGACGATGCAAGCACGTTGAGCCGGTATCAAGCGCACAATGCATCAAGGAGATCATTGACAAGGACAACCCGCATAATTACTGTATTGCTAGCCAAGATGCCGACCTTCGAAAATTTCTCCGCAGCGTGCCTGGAGTTCCACTGATTCATATCAACCGCAGCGTCGTCGTGCTAGAACCACCCAGCAAGGCTACCAAGAACAAAATGGCACAACTTGAAAAAGCGAAAACCTTACCCAATGAGAAGGAACTTTCCTTCATGAAGAAGAAGAAAAAGGAGTTGAAGGATCAACAGAAGAAGGCGGTAACGCCAGGTGAAAACGGTGAAGCGAAGGAAGAAGCAGCCTCCAAGAAGCGAAAGAGAAAGGGACCCAAGCAGCCCAATCCATTGAGTATGAAAAAGAAGAAAAAGCAGCCACCACCGCCGCCAAAGGCAAAGACAACCACCCAAGGTGAAAACACCGATAATTAGAAGCCACGATACCAAAGAAATAGAGGGTTTTAATTAGCAGACGTTAGTAAAGCTGAGAATTTTAGATGAGGAGATACGCTGGCCGTAACGTACAGATGTTTGTCATGAAGTGAACTTGATTGGATGCAGTATTTGTCACTGTAAGCGTGGGTGACTTTTTCAAGGTCCGTCTTCCCAGCATCACCATTTATAAAAGTTTGGTTGCTGTCATCTTTACTTCATGTGCAAATCCTTCAAAGAGACATGTTAAAATCCATTTCCTCCACATATTTGAAGCGCTGCCTTAATAAGCCGGTGACACAGCGTCCTTCTTTCTCACAGTACTACAGAATGATCACCACAGCTACCATTCCAAAGGTGAGTGGGTTTACGGGTCAGGAGATATTCACTTAGTCATAAGCTTAAACGCCCGCCATAGCTCAAAGATCCCAGCCTTTTACGAAACGCGGCTTTCATTAATAACAAGTGGGTCCAAGCCAAGAATGCTGAAACGTTCGCTGTCACAGGTAAGTAGTTAAAAGCGTGATTTTTCGGTATGCAATGCAATGACTAACAATAGCGTCATAGACCCGGCCACCGGTGAGGAAATCGGTAAAGTCCCGGATATGGGCGTAGAAGATGCAAAGGAAGCCATTGATATTGCATCAGCGTCATTTAAGACATGGTCCCGAACGACGGCAAAGGAGCGCCATGATTTGATGAAGAAGTGGTATGACGCCATGATGGCGAATCAAGAAGACTTGGCTACCATCTTGACCTGGGAGAACGGCAAGTCTCTCGCTGAATCCCGGGGAGAAATTATCTACGGTTCCTCCTTCATCGAATGGTTTGCTGAAGAAGCTGTCCGGTCCTATGGTGCTGTCATCCCTAACAACGTGGCCAGCCAAAGATATATCACCATTAAGCAACCTGTTGGTGTGGTCGGTATCATTACCCCTTGGAGTAAGTAGAATAATGTGAAACATATTCAGTGCACATTGGTCTCACCACTCTTTTGTTTCCAGATTTCCCTAATGCTATGATTACTCGTAAAGTGGGAGCTGCTCTTGCTGCCGGATGTACCGTGGTCATTAAGCCAGGTGCTGAAACCCCATTCTCCGCCCTGGCTTTGTGCGAACTTGCTGAGCGAGTTGGCATTCCCGCTGGTGTCATCAACATTGTCACCACCGACGCCCACGTTAAAGATATTGGTACTGAGCTGACCACCAACCCTATCATCAAAAAGATTTCTTTCACTGGTTCGGTAAGGTTTACGTTTTAGTTACTTTATATGGATGGGCGGGATCTAATGGTAAACTTTATAGACGGCTGTTGGAAAACTTCTTATGAAGCAATCATCAGACACGATGAAGAAGATTTCCATGGAACTCGGTGGAAATGCACCGTTTATTGTGTTTGACGATGCGGATGTTGATGCTGCCGTCGAAGGAGCGATTGCATCCAAGTTCCGAGGCACAGGCCAAACTTGCGTGTGCGCTAACCGAATGTATGTGCAAAAAGGCATTTATCCCGAGTTCGCATCCCGACTCGCAGAGAAGGTAGCCCAATTCCGCATAGGTCATGGATTCGATAAAGAAACCAACTTTGGACCTTTGATCAACCATGCAGCTGTCAAGAAAGTGACCACATTGGTGGACGATGCTGTTTCCAAAGGTGGCGAGCTGCTCGTGGGAGGCAAGCATGCCGGCGGTAACTTCTATGAGCCTACTGTTATTTCAGGTATGACCAAGGAAATGAGAATTGCAACTGAAGAAATCTTTGGACCTGTGGCTGGACTCTTTGAATTCGAAACTGAAGACGAAGTCATTGAACTTGCCAACAATACCCAATTTGGCCTTGCTGGTTATTTCTTCTCCCGGGATGTTGGTCGTGTCTGGCGTGTTGCTGAGAAGCTCGAAGTAGGTATCGTCGGTGCCAACTCTGGTATAGTCTCCAACTGCTACACTCCCTTCGGTGGAGTCAAGGAGAGCGGTATGGGCCGCGAAGGATCTTTATATGGAATTTCCGATTACCAGAACATCAAGTATATCAATATGGGAGGCATTCAATAGGAATCCCCCAAATTAGTAAATAAAGAATAAAAGTAAACCTCCAGTTGACAAAGAAACACTGTAAGTGCTGTGGCATTTATGTAAAGGAACATGTGCATATTCACTATACAGTATAAGACAACGTGCTTCTCTTATGTAAGAAGGGACTCATCTATCAGATCACTTTTAGTTAACGGGCCCTGGCCATCCAGCCGTTGTACCACAGATACACCGCATATTTTTTTCTACACTGAGAACATATTTTCAGCCGACATTAACACCATTCTTTAAACTTCTCCTCATTCTTCCATTTGCAATCTGGGAAAATGATGCTCTATAGACTGGTAGTTTTGGGCGATGGAGGCGTTGGCAAGGTAAAATCTCGGATGGGCAGCGAGATCCGAGGTGCATCTAGACTAATCTTGAAATGTCTACTGCTTTATTAGACAGCGCTGACGATTCAACTCTGTTTGAATCACTTTGTAGGTAAGTCACCCAACCAATTTGCTTAGCATGGATGGACTGGAAACACCTGATTTTCCATGTTGATCGCAAGGGGGTGGTGATTATGACCCCAATTTTTGTTCCTGACCTTTGCAATTTTTCCCTCCACCCAATCTTTTCTTTCTCTTGTAGAGGTAACCGTTTTTAAAAGCTATTTGGACCTCCGCAACGTCCGCCACTCATCCATTCCCGCTCTGATAATGATCGATTAATCCGAAAATACTTTTTAAATTAGACATACGACCCTACTATTGAAGATTCATACCGAAAACAAGTGGTTATAGATGATCAAGCATGTGTTTTAGAAGTACTGGATACAGCAGGCCAAGGTATGTAATGCACCCAACATTTCGGGCATGTTATAAAGAGGCTTCTTTGGCACACCAATTCTGGTGGTCGATCGCAGTATCATCCTCCCACGGAAACACAAGATATTGTGCGGCAATTCATTTTTTTTTGGGCGGAACGTTCAACTGGGGGAGGGGCTTTCGCTTGGCAGATTCAAAAATAATTAATTGATCGTCCATTCATCGTCTGACCCTCTTTGTTTTATTTAAAAAAAAAAAAATTCATAGAGGAATATACCGCACTGCGCGATCAATGGATACGAGATGGCGAAGGTTTTCTGGTAGTCTACTCAATCACAAGCCGAGCAACGTTTGACAGGGTACAAGGGTTCCGCGACCAAATTATTCGAGTAAAAGATGCTGATGACGAGGAAGTGCCATTAATGCTGGTTGGTAACAAGTGCGACAAAGTGACGGAACGAGAAGTATCTAGAGACGAAGGAGCAGCGATGGCACGGAAAATACGATGCGATTTCATTGAAACAAGCGCTAAAACGTGCGTCAATGTAGAACGATCATTTTACAGCGTTGTAAAATTAATCCGTAGCCAGCGTGACGGTCAGAAGAAACAAAAGAAGAACAAGTGCACCTTAATGTAATGGAAGCTTCGATCAATGACGTAGTACAGCAAACTCCCACTTTATATATACACTTCCTTTCCCTTTTCACTTTTACTTTCCTCACCTCCTCTCTTCTTGTAAAACCCTCTTCAAAGCAATGGGCAAAGCTCAAAGTAAATTAAGTCCAGAGCAACTAAGCGAATTGCAGAAATCAACCAGATGTATGTTGTGTTTTTCACGAACAGTAATGTCAGCCCCAGTCAAATCATTAGGCAATGACTAACAACTACTTTTCATACCAATACTAGTTGATAAGAAAGAGTTACAGCAATGGTAAATACAGCCCCCATATCCCGTGTAGTTCCTACAAAGGCTTGTATATCCTAATTTCGTCAATGTCGTCTCTCTGTTATTTCATATTAGGTATAAAGGCTTTCTCAAGGACTGCCCCACCGGCCAACTCGACAAGACCGAGTTCCAAAAGATCTATAAACAATTTTTTCCGTTCGGTGATCCGTCCAAGTTTGCAGATTATGTATTCAATGTATTCGATTCCGACAAGAACGGCACCATCGACTTTACCGAGTTCATATGTGCACTTTCAGTAACTAGTCGAGGTGAACTGGACGAGAAGTTGGTTTGTACGTATGATGGGTTTTTGAATGGGCATACTCGGAGGCTTTCAACTGACACATTCTCATCCTGCGTTCCTCTACCTTTTGAAACTCTACATTTGCAGGGGCGTTCCAGGTAAGAATGAAATTGATTTGCAAAACTTCGCATGGATCGTGAGAAAGCTTTCCTAATCAGTCACTCTTAGTTGTACGATATTGATAATGATGGATATATCACCCGTGGGGAAATGCTGAGGATCGTTGATGCTATCTATAAAATGGTTGGATCTATGGTGAAATTACCAGAAGATGAGGATACGCCAGAGAAAAGAGTCGATAAGATATTCCAGTTAATGGATACCAACAAAGACGGAAAGCTGAGTATGGAGGAGTTCAGAGAAGGTTCTAAACAAGACCCTACCATCGTCCAAGCGCTGAACCTTTATGATGGATTGGTTTAAATCACGTGCCCCCTTCCTACTTCTCAAATTACCCCCAATACCACTTTGTAAACCACCCATTCCTTTTTTTCCTTCAAAAAATCTTGCCTTAACTCAACCCATTTCTTTGTGTTCCACATATTGGATTGGTTCTGAATGGCGTCATCTCTATTAGCCATTGTGTTGGTTATTAGCTCAACGCGTGGTCACCACTATGTATTTAGTTACCCTCCCGATCCGCAAAGGAAGCAGAGTCATAAACAATCTGAACCTACCTCGTCTGAAAATGTGTATGGTATAGCATGGCGGCAGCAACAACATCAGCAGCAAAACGAACAGCAGCAGCAGCACCATGATTCTCACAGCCAATTTGAAGGTAGAGACTCCATTTTCGGTATCGACACTGGTTTTCTGGCAGACGCATTGGCTCCCAAATCTCCATTAAGAGACAGAAAGTTTCAAATGACCATTGACGATCTGACCTTTGTTGGTCACCCTATCAGTCTCACGGCCGACGACCACCAGCAACAAGCTCAGCAACAACCTTCACAGCAGAAAAAGTGGCAATCCAATGATGATGGTAACGGGCATAGGCGAACTAGTAAAGGCTCTAACCCGGCCGTGGACGACTCCCACTCTTCATCTCACATTACCCAGTTTCATGTCGTGTTCGTCATCAGCCCGCCAGATCTTGAACTCAATAATCAGGTCGATATATTGTATGACCATATTATCAAGAGATACACCACTGCACTTCGGTATGAACAGCTCCGATGCGAGTATGTGAAACGCGAGGCTGATAAAGTTCTGGCTATCAAGGAAGAAGCTACCAACCACGGAACTCCTTATTCGCAAGTGATGTTATCGATTCTGGCCGAGTCATCTCTTGCTCGGGACATCAAGCACATCTTTACCAGCTTGTCTTCCAACTCCATTGCTCATGTCATTGTCAACGATTTTATCGACTTGTCACTTCAATTGCCCGTGGTTGGAAACCAACAAAAGCTGTCCATGATGTTACAGTATCCTGGCGCTACTAATCCCGTGAATGAATCTGTGGCTAGCATCTATGTTGGAGCCTATGAATACGACAAATACCCCGTTCTGTGCCCATACCATACGCTCTTGCTTTTGGAGGATCCAGAAGAAGTGTTGAAAAGTATGCCTCTAGACTCCAATCCAACCTTGGTACAGCTCGTTCAAATTTTGACACCAACGCAGAACCTGCAAGAATTGCATTTATTGCTGGACTGCTCACTGGCGCAAATTTACCGTCTGGCCGCCCATCTTATTTACTGGCGAAAAGCGAAACTTATCCATCCCATTCATGCACGAAACGTCTACGCCATTTCGCCTGTCGCTAAAATGGAAAAGTAAGTGTTCAGTAACTAGTACAATGAAAGCTCGGTTTCTAATGCACGGTGCTTTTTCATTTTAGTTTCAAAGAGCTGGAAGCTGATTTCAAGTCTCATGTTCCTGGCCTGGATCTTCCAACGTTACTATCCGAGCTTTCTTCTACTCGGCCATTATACATGATCACTCCATCGAAAGAATTACGCCAGCAGTATTGCGTTGCCATCATGTATCTACTGAGATTTGACCTGGTCATTCAGTTGCATATGTATTTGGTATTACTCCCAATCCCTAAGGAGGTATCCCCGACGTCGACATCAGACGATCAGCTTGGGTCTAGCCCCACGGACGACTGGCTTAAGCGATTTGCATCGGATAAAGCGCCTCGTGAAGTCGCAGATTTATTTCAAAGGTAAGGGTGGGAAAACTTGGATTGAAATCTTTTGGAAAGTGAGGAATCAGAGGGTTTCTAAGAACATTTTAATTTCTGACATTGCTTCTGTGGCAAATTTTTCACAGGCTGGTTCCTTATCTCAATGGTCGGCATCCTATGGATGAAATTGTGTTTCGAGAAGGCATCACGCGCAAGCAACTCAGCCTTGTTCTCAAGTATTATGCCGACTATATCGTCACCTTGTACCATTACGCTAATTAATCGGTATGTAGTATGGAGTTGGTAACATACACACATTCTGCGGTGCCATTATTGATATTTCATTTGTAAATTACAGTGAAGCGAGAATCGTAGTTGGTTTATGTACAGATTATGAACGAGTTCCAAAGCTAGTCATTGGCTTGTATCGTTTTTGTAACCCTTGCGGATCAACTGTGCTAACGCGATGAGATGCATTGTCCAACCTCGCAGAGGTGACCTGAACAAAGTATCGTCGTTTGCAAGCAAATGCCTGTGCCACGCGGTCCATCCATTTGTTAGTCGTAGCATCTCTAGCTTTAAATACCCTTGATATTATTGAAACACGATCGCCTTCCAGTGCTTTCATCAACTCCCACTTGGTTTCATCCATCCTAAACACAATCCTTGTAAATATATATAATGTAACAACACGAGCGGCATTTTCTTTGCGTACCTTTCTCGTTTTTCTCCCGCAGCTATTGTGATCTGGCTAAAGATGTCGTTGGGGAAAACAATTTGCCATTTCGTTGCTATGGTGCTTTCCATGTAATTGTTAAGCTGACAGAGTAAGATGTCAGTAGGTCGTTTTCAATTGTGTTCACAAGTTACAATTTCGCCACTTTACCTCTTCAACATCACGAATCATGCCTTCCAGAACTTCCGGATTGTCCACCAATTCTTCAGCACTGATCGTCACATACCCTCCTGGTGATCCGCAATAGCTTTAGTATGTGAACTCTGGTTTCTCGTCTTCCTTTTATACATACCACTGCGCTCAGGGAACACTTCTGTACTTGGCATCGCGGTCACAATTAGATCAGGGTAACCAAACAATAGGAATTGAACGCCGAGACGCTTCATCATCTCCAACCGCCGTATAGTTCCATTTGGAAAATCCCGGCAATGGATCTGCAGAATTGACAATGGCTCGAAACATAAGCATGCAAGGCTAGAAAGGGCTGTAAAGATGCAAATTTGGCCTTACCAGAACGGTGTGCAAATTAGGGTCCATGGGGTTGTTGGTTATTCTGTATCCAGCGTTTTGTGCGGCATACATCACCTTACTTGCCTCAGGCCGTTCATCCACAATGAGGATGGATTTGCCAGATGGAATGGTTAGGACCTAGGATATAGAGGATTAAGGTCACCAGTTGAAAATTGGAATTAACTTTACTCTTCCTACGTACCTGGCTCGGTAAAGCGTACATGCGCATGACCATATGCCATTCATACACACTACTCATATCAAAGGCTTGTCCATTACGTAAATTAGCGGGATAGGAAGGGACATTAGGGTATATGCTGGGCAGTGCGATGTGAACGAAGAACAGGGATGTTTTGAGGGACGCATCAATGTCTGCGTTCAACACCAAAGGGAATGTACATGGTACCACAGCAAAGGAGTATTGAGGTGACAGTGAGACTAATCCAGCCTATTGCACCACAACAGCGTCAGATATAACCGTATAACAGAACCACTTTCCCTGAATCAAGATGACTTACCACGTTGTTGATGGACAGCAGGTTCCTCAGCTTGCCATATGGAACACTGACGACAGGAAAACTGAGAGCAAAGATATGCGGAGGAGAGCGTATGTAGTCTGCAAGGTGCTGTTGCGAGAAGTACGAGGTAATACTTAATTCGGGTCGATGACACGTAACAGATCGCATCTCTTCCACTACCGCTGTATAATTAATCGCCTTCAAATTGACGTCCTGTAGTGTATAGTTTCCCCATCGAACGTTGCCATGCCACAACACATATTTGTCCTGTGCTCGGTTTTGCGGAATAGCTTTTGTCGTTGTTGGCGGCATTGGATGAGTTGGAGGAGGTGGTGGTGCTGGTGGTGCTGATGCAGAGTGTGATGATGGGCGAGCATTACCAGCAGTTCCATGGTGTGATCCAGTCCTTGATAAACCTCTGTCAGAGTGAGATCGACTAGAGGTTTTTCTGGGATCCGACCTATATTGTCGATCGTTGTTTGGTTCATTTCGTGGTACAGACCTTGAAGATGATGTACCAGTCGGGTGATGATGGGTTGGGTTTCCCTCATTTGTACGCAACGTTTCCCGTGATGAATGGCTGGTCGTGCGTTTACGAGAGTTACGTGAAATCAAGTCTGTTAAAGAATCGAAGCTCCTCGTATGTTTAGCTTGAAACCGAAACGAGATGTTGTCAGTCGAAAAGCTCTCATCAAACCCTTGAAGGCTTTTGGCTTACATGCTTGATGAGCCATATCTAACTTCATGTGTATGTTCACTTTAAAAGAAGTTGGTGTTGTTGACTTACAATGCTTTATTTCCGACGCACTTGAACTTGAGCTTTCTGATAGTCCTAGTGACCGGTGGTGCTGCAAAATGAAACTTGAGCAAACCGCATTTTTTCATGACTCGTACATTATTTTCTTCTTTTAACATTGTGTTCTTACCAACGCATTAATTTTTGAATTCACTGTATCACTGCCTGCAGCTGATGCTTGACGCTTGTGAGATCTTTCTTCATTGACACCAGGTTTTGTTTGTATTGGTATGGTGGACGATACTGCCTCAGTTGTTGTTGGTGATGTTACGATTGTCTCTGTATTTGATGGTATATCATAGTTTGTTTGAGAGGGGCTTTCCTTTTGGAGTACAGCTAGCCCTGGTTTTGCCTGTTCGAATTGGATTGATTGACGATGATCTTCTTCTAACATAGGGCTAGGTAATGGCGTTTTATTCAATGTGCCATTCTCATTAGAGTTCGTCACTTCATTCACTGAGTTTTCTTTATCGTTGATGGAAGAACCTTCTGAAGTGTGACGTTTTGAAGGGTAATCTGAGTGTGATGGAGTCGCAAGGTGTGGTGATGGTATACTAGGGGAAGCTTTCCTCTTGATTGTTTCCGTGCTAGAGGTTGACAATGGCCAGTCGCCTGAATCATCTGATCCAGCTTCTTTTCCAAATGAAAAAAAAGATTTCAAAGCTTTCTTTGGCGGAAGACGTCGTTTTTTTGACAGAAATAGTGGTTCTTCGTCGTCACTAGAGACGGAGTCAGTGCGTCCATTGGTGCCCGAGTGTTTGATGTTGGATTCGCTTTTCCTGGCGCCAATACTGCATTGTGATTATCTAACATTAGTTACTGTAAAAGCCTGGAGCTATTGCATGTTATACTCTAGGAAAAAACTGTCAATAACGAAGCGCTCATTCGACGGTGTTGCCATGAGTAGAACGAATGGGGGATCAACTCACCACCTCTTTTTGCCATCAGTCCACTTGGCAGGATGCCGATTTTCGCTTTCCGTCACTTTGTTGTCCCCTGATTTATCTAGTCGTAAGTTTTTATTGCGGTCATCCGCATTCATGCTGCTACCAAACAATCAATGATCGATAGCAGCAAAACAAAAGGAGTGCGAAGACTTAAAATACTGATTCCCAAATTTACACCCAAAAAATTAACATAACTCGAAATAAACGAAACATAATGAAAATGGAACGAACATTATACTAAATAGTGTGTCATCTCTCAAGGTGAGTGATTATAATTGTGTGATGATTTGTGTTTAATATGTCTAAAGCATACTATCAGTGGCAAAAAGGATCTCTTGCGAGCGTCCATGCAAATGGGGATCGAAATAGCTTTCATATGCAAAGATAGTGCTATATGGAAGTAGTACTACACGTTAAGCATTGCTGAACTTTTGATATCTTTAATCTGTAAACGTAAGCTTGATATACAGATCATAAATAATATCAGCTCAAATACTCCTCTCTGATATCTAGCAATTTTTCATTGTCTGCCTGTGAAGGCCAAACAAGTCACACCTTTTGGCGCCGACCGCCTTGCGAGTTGTGCTTTTGCTGGGATCATGATTCGCAAACTCGGAAAAGAAGTCAGCAGAGTCGGCTTTGGAGGCTTTCGAGTGAACAATGCAGCTCATGGCACAGCTCTCCGAAAGGCCATCACCTCCGGAATCAACCTGATCGATACAGCTGCCAATTTCGAAAAAGGCTAGTATAGTAAAACTCGTGCCTGGACTGAAGCGTTCAGCCCTCATTAACCGTACAATGCAAAACAGGTGCTTCAGAAACCATTATTGGCAATACTGTTCAAGACATGATATCTAAAGGAGAGGTTTCTCGCGATGTAAGTAAGGCTCTTACCTGGGTCACAATGTTTTTCCCTCCTACTAATATGAGCCGGCATTAGAGTCTTACAATAGTATCCAAATCAGGATATCTCCTGGAAGACGACGTAGAGAAGTTGGATGCATCAAAGGATTTCGTACAAGTACGCGACAAAAATTATCACTCAATTTCACCGCGTGTGTTGGAAATGCAGATCTCACAGTCTCTTGATCGATTGCGTACGAACAAACTGGATATATTCATGATCAATGCACCAGAGAGGATGCTGATGGCGCAGAAAAGAGTGAGTATTTGAATAGTATGCGAATGATGTTGAATTGGGCGCTGATTACTGCATATGCTACAACAGGCGTATTCTCCTGCTCAGCTGTACAAAGACATAGAAGTCGCCTTTCAGCATCTCGATACAGAAGTCGCGAAAGGTAAAATTTATATGGATGAGAGGTTTCCATTTAATTTGTTTCTTACCTCCATTTCATGGATTTAGGTCGCATAAGTGGTTATGGAATATGCTCCAACACGTTAGCGGATCCACAAGCAGCCGATCATGTTTCCTTGCCGAAGATTATTGAAGCATGCGCTAAACGAGACAATTTGGTAGCCGTCGAGACTCCTTTCAACTTTTTTGAACGACAGGCATTAGTGCAGCCACATGGCATCACCGTTGCCGATGTATGCGACAAGCATCAGTTGTTTTTGATGACCAATCGACCCTTAACTGCAATATATCAAGGTCAAATTCGACCCTTTGTCAATCATACCTTTGGAGATGGAACGGCTCAAGGTAGAGTGGTTGTGGAAGGAAGCCTGGAGAAAGAAGTATAGTTCACCGTTCTTACTGTGTGCTTTTTTCGAATAGCTGAGCATGCTGTGATGGAGAAGATGTCCAAGTCACTGGAAATGCTTACCACTATGGAATCGGATTTGATGTCTGAATGTAAGCAAGACATACTACATTCAAAGTAAATTGAATTTGCACGGCTAATTGGTCCTTTTTAACAGTGCCAATAGAACAAGATGCTTTGGCGACCAAGTTCATTTGGGCACAGGTCATATCAGAAAACCTTTCAAAGCTATCTCAAAATCATTTTGCCGCAAAACACTTTTTAGAAAACACAGTGCTTATCTCCCTGAAGAGGGATGTCAAAGCTTTACTAGCCTATGCTGAGACGTTGGATGAACCCGAGGCTCTGCCAACGTTCCAGGAATGGACAGCAGAATACCAAAAGGTACGCCTGAGTGTTTATAAAGCGAGGAACTGTATGCTCATCTACTAATGACTTGTTCGATAGGTGACTGCTGAGCTGTGTGGCCATCTCATTGACTATGCCTATGTTGATTGCTTGCGGAAAAACAATGATCTCGACAGAATATTGAGCGCTGTATGCCCGCTTTTGAATGAGCCAGAACACACCTACTCTTCAATCTCAGTTAAAATGCTACGTATTGCTCTGGCGAATGAACAAATCGGCTCAGTGTTGACTGGTATGAGACAGGATATCTATGTGGATGATGCGCTGAAAGCTTTGGAATGGCACAAGGAATATCCATTACATGAGACAGATTTGGAGGACTTGTGGCGAGTGCCTTTTCATTAATAAAACGATCAAGTTACATAGTGGTTAATAGAAGATGTAACGAGACCTTGATGCGATACCATTCAGAACTAAGTGGGTGGAATAGAGCATATCTGTGATTATTTCTTACAGTCAAGTGAAGCGCAGCAACTAATTTATGTCCGCACCTAGCAGCCATATGATCTAGTAGCAAAACGTTAAAACGTAGGTATACTTTCAGCACTAGAGCTAACCACAGCTTTATTTATTTTCAGCGTTCAGCTAGTCGTTTTACGTTATGGGACCTAAATTGGTCTCTCTTCATCTATGATTCACCAATATACGTCGAATTTTCGATGAAAAAAAGCGGAAGTTCGACGACGACGGCGCATTTGAATCAGTCCAAGTCATCGCTTTCGGGCTTATCACCTAGCCATATTCTTTCAAGCTCGATGTTGACCTTTGGAAATAGCCTTTTAAACTCCAGTTCTTCCATCTGGCAGCATTGGAGTCGGTAGCACAGTTTGATTGGTTTTCCTCCGCCTGTCTGCATATCTTCGCCGTATACTAATACCAAAAGAAGTGACCTGATATCATGTACGATAACGAGCTCCACAGATAATATGGTTTGATCTTCAAATGCTTCTCCCACTGTGAAGAGCTCGTCTATACCTAGAGATCGACCTTTGGCGAAGCTCATTTTTCTCCAGTCATTCAGATTATGCAATACCCGCTTTGCATCTTCTTCGTTAACAAATTGGACCTCAAAACACATTCCAAAATGACTGACATTGATTGGAGCTGAGGCCCTTGTACACTTTGCAATCAAATGGTTCGATTCGTCAATAGCTGGTAAGTAGTGATGAAGCGGCTCTCCACCGGTGTGGAAGCTCAAGAATGATAGATCGCCTTTCTGGATAGCCAACTGATGCAATAGCCTTGTACGAGATCGAAGCCCCTCGCCATATGCTAATGTCAAGTCAATAGAAAATATTCCAACCAAAGCATAGGCCCTATCTTCTTCACGTGTTGTCTGCCGAGCATCCATTCTTGCCAATATCTCAGCAGCATTTCCTTGTCGATAATATAGATGAAGGTCAAGAGTACACAGGTCTTGGTTTTGCTCAATGGCTAATTCTTGTATTGTGGCGAGCTTTCCATCCTTTGATATTCCACAGAGGATTCCAGCTGCAGCACCTTCCTGTAGACACCAGCCTCTGCTGCTCCATTTAGAAAGTGAAGTACCTGAATCCAAGACAACAGCGGCGCAGTTGGCATACCACTTGTACATTGAACGAATTACTTCATCAAGCTCCGACAGATTTGACTTGTCGATGCAAATTGTGTCCATCCATACATATCGCGTATGTTTTCGTAACGTGTTGTATATACGACCTAGTTTTCCTGACATCTTGCTAATTTGTTTACGTTGAGATTGTTTTAGTTTCATCACATCCTGATATCTGACTTCGGTCTTTCTCCATCTATGTGTTATGAACACAACCTTTGTGACTTCAATATCGTTCACTAGCTTATCTTGCTTCAAATCCCATACTCGGTTTACGATGTATTGATGTCGCTTTCGCCATACATTTATTCCAACCGCTTTAGCAGCGGCTACTGGCGAGAGTGGACGATGATTAGACTGTGTATGACAAGGGCACAAGTATCGATTGCGTATCTGCCAGTCGCTAAAAATGCTGTTGGATGGCAACACCTTTTGAATGGGATCCAGTTCAACACCGCAAATTGCCATAACTAGTTTTTCAACAAGTCCATCACCACCAGTCATACTGAGAATACTAAGACCTGCTATCAATATGGCATGCAGGTCAACTGCAAGATTTTGCTCTGATCCTCCAATTAGATCCGAAAATGCCTCTTGACTAGGGCGAAGACTTGACCTTCTACATACATATACTGCGTCAATGAAGTTTAGGTATGGTTCTTTCGCTTTGTGCCAGGTTGGTACGGACAGATATGTGTTCTTTGGAGGAATTTGCACAATCAAGCGACCTGATTCTCGAATGATACCTTTCATCTTGTCAAAATGAGACGTCCACTTCGGAGGCTTCATGTCGATACATCTGTCCGACTCCAACATGAAAAAAAATTTGGACACAAAGAATCTCGCACCAACGCAATCAAGCAAGGATTGAATAATTGCTATAGCACGTTTTTCAACTGATGTCGTTTCGGACGGATTCGATGATTGTGCAGATGGAGCTGTTCCTGAGGATGTACTCTCATCGTCTTTAATATCAATGTCCGGAAACTTTTCCAATTGAAGGCTCTTAAAATGCGGAAAACCGTGACCATATTTGTGACTTGTGTGGTTCATCCATCTTTCGTTACCATTGTTGGCTAAGTAGACAATTAACGGGACTATAGGTGAATATTGAAAAAGGAACGCTAAAATTCACATGTAAAGAACCATTACCTTCAAGCTCGTCGTTTAAGTTATGGCAATATTCCTTCAGTACGACATTGATTGAGTTTAGTTTGCTGCTATCATCATCCACACTTGCTGATGTTATATTCAAAAAGATGCTTTTCTTTTCTAAAGGTTGAGCAGAGGACTTGGATAATTCTTCTCGCAATGTGGGATAGCTCTTTTCTAATGCTTGAGATACTTCTACATCTTCAGGGTTAGCACCAGCTGCAATAAGAAGTTTAATTACAGCAATAAATTGCCAGTCATTGTAGCCTGCTCGCGAGTCAGTGATCTGAACAGCATGCGTCAGTAGGTTGTCAGGACCATGAGAGTCGTGAACAGAAGCTCCACTTTCGAGGAATGCGTTAACTAGATATGAATTCATCATTTCCACAGCAAGATAAAACGGGGTTTTCCCAAAGTCGTTTTTGGAATTAATGTTCGCACCTCGTTTCATTATTAGAGAGCATTGTTCGTTGAGGCTCCTATAAGTCGCTAAATGCAAGGCGGTATTCCCTTTGTTATTTTTTGAATTAACATCAGCATGCCGCTCCAACAATAATGAGATTAGTTTCGAGTTACTTTCTTCGATTGCAATATGTAACGCTGTTGATTCTGTCGCATAGGTTTTTGCATCAATATCAATTCCGTTGTCAATCAAAAGGTTTACCAATGGGAATGCCTCTTTTTCTACTGCGATATGAAGAGCTGTTTCACCTCTATCGTTTTTGGCATTGATATCCACTCCTCGCTGAAGCAGTATGTCGACTACTTCACAATGTCCACTTCTGGTAGCATAGTGAAGTGCTGTATTACTGTCATCGTCAATTGAATGAATATTACAACCACAGTTCAGCAAGAAACATAATGCTGTGATTTCACCGAGGGATGAGTAATATTGCAGGATGGTGTGATTTCGATTTGTAATGTTTTTGGCTTCTATGTTAGCGCCAAAATGAAGCAGCATAGATATCACCTCAGGATAGCGATATGCTAATGACAGCAATGGCTGTCCATCGTCATTGCACATATTGATATCTGCACCAATGTCCAAAAGGTAAGAGATCACACGAACCTTTCCATGTTGGGATGCTCTATGTAGCATTGTATTAATATAGAGACGTCTATCCTCGTCATTGCAAAGCGTGTCCAATATTCTCTTGACCAGAGTGACTTGTCCGAAGTCTGCCGCTAGATATAGAAGATGCGAAGGATTGTTCCCATACCTGCGTAATCTTTGCCCTGCAAGTTCTAATTGGTCTACTACGTCAAAATGGCCATTCTTCATAGCTACTTGAATTGGTGTGTGTCCATCTTCGTTTTTAGCATCAATATTGGCTGTATGCTTGATTAAACTAGTCACGATGATGGCATGGTTGAATTCTGCAGCCAAATGAAGAGCGGTATCACCATGATTCGTTGTAGCTTCAATGTTTGCTTTCTTTTGCAGTAGTAACTCAAGTATGGCTAAGTAGCCATATTTCGCTGATTGGTGTAAAGAATTTAATGAATGCTTATCAGTTGCTTCTATGTTGGCTTCCTTTTCGACCAATAAAGAAACCACATCCAGACGATTTCTGAACACAGCTACCAATAAGGGAGTTTCACCGTTCACATTAGTAGTTTCAAAAGCCGCGTCATGGTTTATCAGCAGGTCTACTACTTCGGTGTGTTCATTAGCTGCAGCAAAATGGAGTGCGGTATTTAGTATCTTATTCCTTGCGTCAACAGTTGCACCATGATCGATTAGCAGTTCTACTACTTCTTTGCGTCCACTATCTGCAGCCAAGTGAAGTGGAGTATCTGAATTCTCGTCTCTTGCGTTAACAGCCGCACCATGCCTTATTAACAGGTCTACTACTTCTTTGTGGCCATTCCTTGCAGTCCAATGAAGTGCGGTATTTGATGTCTTATTTCTTGCGTCGACAGTCGCGCCACGCTCGATTAGAAGGTCTACTACTTCTTTGTACCCCATCATTGCAGCCCAGAAAAGTGCAGTATTTAGTGTCTTATTTCTTGCGTCAACAGACGCGCCGTGCCTTATTAACAGGTCTACTACTTCTTTGTGTCCATTCCTTGCAGCAATCTGAAGCGTGGTATCCAAATCCTCGTCTCTTGCGTCAACAGCCGCGCCATGCGTTATCAGCAAGTCTACTACTTCTTTGTGTCCCTTCGTTACAGCTAAGTGAAGTGCAGTCTTTAGTGCCTTATTTCTTGCGTCAACAGACGCGCCATTCTGTATCAGCAGGTCTACTACTTCTTTGTATCCATTCCTTGCAGCAAGCTGAAGTGTGGTGTCCAAATCCTCGTCACTTGCGTCAACAGCCGCGCCATGCTTTATCAGAAAGTCTACTACTTCTTTGTGTCCCTTCATTGCAGCTAAATGAAGTGCAGTGTTTAGTGTCTTATTTCTTGCGTCAACAGCCGCATCATGTTTGAT